AGCCTTGATAGACGCAATGGAAAGCACGATCTCCCAAGGGCAGTCGCTGCGCCAATCCGCTGTAATTCGCTCTGAATAATTATTAATTAGTCATGTCGGGATTAAATTAAAATTTACGAAGCTGATTTTTTGTCTATAAGTAGTTTACGATAATTATCGTCAAATAAACGTTTTCTTCCTTCGATACAAGTTGGCTGAAGTTTTGGTAGACGTGGCTAAAATTTTTGCGCGCGAGGTTGTTTAAAATTCCTAATTTAAATAATTATAATTTTTTGAGCTCGCACCATTATTAAAACGTACGATATTAGTAATAACGAGCTAGCATTAGCGAGCGAGATTTTAGCTACTATAATATTAGTAAAAGTTGAAAATACATTTTTTTTCAAATAACTGACCTTTTTACCGTTGGATAATTAAATTTATTTCTCTTTCACTTATAATTTATATCCATGACGCTTACCAAAGCCACACTTGTGAGCAGCTAGCACCAGGGTTGTCGCCTTTGGGTTAGCAGTAAATACTGATTGGTACAAAAAAACAGGATATGCTAAATCCTGGTAATTTACGATAAAATTGGAAAAAAGTTGAAAGTGGAGTTAACTTGAAGTTTTTTGAAGATACTACAAAGTACTAAGAAAAAATGATCAATAACTATGAAAAACAAATAGATAACATTCTGCATTTTTGTTTGCCAATTTAGTACAATTCACTAATGGTAGTTTGGTTTGCGTTTATTTTAAGGATTTAGATTTAACTGATAAACGACTAACCTTAAAACCGATATAAAAGTAAGGAAATGATCTGGTGACACAACGGAAAGGAATATAGAACAATCATAGATAGAAGAACGGAACGCCAAGGAACCTTAAAAAGAGATCAAATTACAACTGCCGAGTTAACTTTTGTTTTGTTAATTCTTCACGATCAGGATTGTGGCAGAATTTTCATGATTTTCGATAATAACATAACAAGGAAATACTAGAGTATATATTAATTTAAAATTAAAAATACTAAATACTACAGACTAAATTCAAAATTTCAATACTAAATGGGACGTTCAAAATATCAGATTTAGTATCTTATATATCGTGTCGGCTACACCGGATGACTCTGCTATAAATTCGACGCGTAAAGATCAAGAGGCGATGAATGGCCGGAGCCGAGACAAACATATTTAGGGAGCAGATATAACACCTTTTGAATACCCTGAAAGCACAGAATATATAGCTACGCTAGCTATTTATTCTGTGCTGAAAGTAATCAGACACAGCAACCCGTTGATCCGCAGAGGCTACCGGCAGATGCAGGCGGCCTAGACATCAACTTCTGGATGCAGGGTGAGTCGAAATTTTTCCGTCTGTTTCAAGACCATCAGTATCAAGAACCGAAAACGACGACATATACACACACACATCTCCCCCCCTACTTTCCTTACCCCTCTCCCCTCCCGCGTTGGCTTAACACAGTGCTTCCTAAGCTGCATTGCTGCGTGACCTCACCCACACACGACACAGCGTGGGGGTTTACTCAGATGAGCCGACGAAGGAAGAGGAGCTCCAGAAGAAAGGGCCCTTTCCGGCTGGGCCCAGCCAGGACAGGAAAAGTCGCCACGAATTAATCGGCGGTCCAAGATGACGGGGAAAGGGCCTATATCTACGAGGTGTCCGGGCCTACAGCGAAGAAGTGGGTAAAGAGCTATAATCCCGCTCGACCCCGCTCCATCCGAGGTCATATATCCAGCCAAGGATATTGGCTCGCCTTTTGAATAGCCAACCAATATTCGCCGAGCCCGAATAACAGTAACTTACTGTACTTTTCGTCATTCAGTTTACTTCTAAATTGTTTAAAATTAATAATAAAATCGGAGATTATTTTGTTATTTAATTTTAAAAAACATGCAACAATACATTTTATAAATAATAATATAGGATTGAACATTAAATAATTATGAAATTAATGTATTGCAGCTGCTATCGAAGATAGAAGACGTTTATTGACAATAATTATTGCAAACTACCTATAGACAGAAAAGCAACTTTGTAGATTTTAATTTAATCTCGGTATGAGTTATTATTCAGAGCGACTTACAGCGGATTGGCGCAGCGACTGCCCTTGGGAGATCGTGCATTCCATTGCGTCTATCAAGGCTTTGCACCCTTAGATGATCGGTAGACTGTTTTCTTTGGTTCTCTTATAAACTAAAGTATTTGAGAAAAAAAATTCAGCCTTGTAGAAATAAGTCAAAAAAGTTAATTTTTCAACACCTTCCGTGATGGTAGACTCTTGATGGCCCCGCTTCCGACGCGGTAGACTATCATTATACTGTATTTTTAGGTGGTATAATTGATCACTCAAAAAAGTTTCACACTTGTAGGTATAAGACATTTACATATTATTTATTTACATGTTTCAAAAATTGTTATTAATGTTTGCCCCCACATTGGCGCGGTAGACTGCCGTTCCGTTTACTTGCGATATCAATACAACAAAATGAGAAAAAATCAGCTTTGTAGGAATTGGTGCAAAATTTCTGTCGCTGCCTCCCGGGCTATAATGACAATCACAGACAAATACATTATCTTTAACTTTCATTTACCTAAACACTATAACTCGCAAGTGAGACAACTCTGGAAAAACATTTGTCCCAATTTCGTTACCATACTTTGACATCACGACTCAATTCGATACACGATACAGAGTGAGACATATTTTTAATATTAATTTTACAAAATATAGTTTCCAACTTTAGTTTAGCGGACACAAATCGTTACAAAGATTTTCCTTCTACCAATTATTTTAAAACGCTTTTATAATTTTAACTTTATTAACTTTAACCCATAAAAACAAGTAATTTCAATAATTTCATTCATATTTTTTTTGTAAGCCGTCACTTGAAAGCGGTCGAAGATCGCTTGAACGATGAACTGTTTAAATATAAATGCACTCTAGAGCCCTCTTGATATCGTAGATAAGAGTAAAAACGCAAATCACTTGTTTTAATGTAGGAACTGTTTTTAGATTATCTTGATAGTATCGTGTTCGTTTAATTTAGATAACTTGTAAATTAAAGTATGTAAATATATTTTTATTATATGAATTGTGAACACCGTCAAATTACTGAAAATATTTATTTATGGCGTTTCTTAAGTAGCGTTTTTTTTTTGGGTATTTTGTAACACCGTAAATTTAAAAATTATAAAACGTAGTCAATACAGATGTGCCAAATGGTATTCAATATAATTTAGATTGTGTGAAAACCCATATTTCCACCATAAATAGCGAATAAACTACCTAAGATGATTAGAAAAAGATCGCGAAGTAATAATGAAACTATAAATAAATCCTGCAAATTAATAATTATATTATTTTTAAATTATATGTTTATCACGATTATTATTTATTTTAATATGCTTTCCTGTGCAAGTAAGATAATCTTATTACGGCCCTGGTCAGCACTTCTCCATCCAAGGTCACCGATAACGACTGAACGAGATCAAAGTGCCGACAATTCAACTGCTAAGATCAATAGCAACATCAAACATAACAAAGACAAATTGTGCAGAGCGCCACCAAATTTTGGTCCCATTTTGTGATCTAGCATCCTCCAAGTACGTTTGATAATATTGAATGCCTCTTGTTGTTTCAAAATAGAACGCCTTTTTAACAAATCCACTTTTAAAATTAGTATGTTTTAAAGTCAAGGCAAGACCTTTAATCCATAGATGCAGGCCGTTCAAAATTGAACATACTTAAACTTTGCCAATGTTTTAAATCAGCTAATGTACCTGCATAACCGACTATACTTTCCAATTTTTTTTTTTTTTCTAATTTTACTCTCACTGGTAATATACCTGTAGTAATTGAGTCACTATGACTGTTGCTTACAGTGATAATTATATAAAAATATTCTTAGAAAACGACACAAATTCATAAATATTAATAAAAAGTACATCTATAAATAATAAATACCGCAAGAAATTGTAAATATGTAGGTCTATAAATTAATTGACTTTCCTCATCGTGCATTTTGTAGTTTTTCGCCTGAAATTCTGTTGTTTCGAAGAATTCATAAATATGCATGCGCGACGACACTATTGAAAGTGAAATCATATGAATTTGCAAACAATAGTTTATCATATTTAATGTTGACCTTCGGTAAAACGACTGTGCCTAAAGACATATTTTCTTAAACGAAAATTTAGTTTACCTATATAAATTGTAAACGCAATTATTATAATTGTTTCTCCTCATTTTGTATTTAACGGCACCACACTATAAAATTAAAAAAGTTGGGAAGTTATGTACTCGTAGAAGAGAGAGTTCAAATATACAAGCTGCCTTACGGTGACGGCCCATTAGAATATTTCAGAAACGATTTCAATTTTGAAAATTTAGGCTTTGGGGTTTTCGGGGGTGCTCTCTTATATCAGAAATAGCTGTCAACTTCGTTATTTCAAATGGAACATTTTCGACAGATAAAAGCTTATTGAAAATGCACTAAACGGATATTGAAAGTAAAATACGTGTAGCCCAGTTACTGTAGCTGAAAATATAGTAATACCTCCCAATTTTTTATAACTGCATCTTACCCCCCACTTCAAAACTTATGTATAATATAAATAAAAATAAAGTCATATTGTAAATTTCTCATAATTTTTAGAAACAGATATCAGAATTTTGTTATTCTAGATCTAGATTGTAAAACCTCTCAACCGGCGACTATGAATCAAAATAAATTAAGTTGGGTTAGATCAGCCTATTTTGACACCAAGAACCCCACCATCATAGTACGACCATTTGACCATTTCATTACCAAACATCCTGAATATCGAGCAATCGACTACACTACACTACAAAGCAATTTATAGATTTTCCAGAAAATAAATACGTACTGCAAAAGAGGCAGTACTTTTTTGGGTCACACTGTACATAACAAAATCACTTATCCGTTTCAGTGATGAGCCGCACAAGTCACTAAAACGCTCCCGTATCCTACTTACTCCAACACAGTTGTTATTCTGTTCTGTATCCATGACGGAAGAATGGACGGTATCACCGAGGAATTATCACATTCAGAAGTGAAACAAATGCCCGAGCTGAGCCATCGCTCCGCTTTGACAATTAATCTGTTACGTTTGACACTTCACTGGGTATTGCAAATTGTGAAATTCGCGAAACAGTTCGCAGGGAACTAGTCTTCGTGTTTTGCACTTGGCTCGGTTTGTAGACATCACTTTCACCTGTTATTTGCAGCGAACGGTGTTGCTTGAGCAACTGTTACGCAAAGTATGCAAAACTTATCTCGGGGACCGAATTTTGAAAAGCTTGGGATGTCTTGGCGATTTAGATTTAATTTAAAATAAAGCAAAGCGACGTTTTCAAAATAAAGTTTGTAATTCAACTCTCAAAGGTGACACTAGTGCGATTTGGGATTTTGCCAACTTTGAACCTTTGTGTATTCTTCATTTGTTAACGAAAACAACGTATTTATGTCAAAACTGGGGTAAAATTTCCCTAGAAATCGAGTAATATAAATAGGTTTGAAAAAAAATTAATTTGTTGAAAAAAAAACATTTTTCAAAAAATGACGTTTTTTTAAAATTCGTATTTCTTATAAATAATGGCTAGAGAAAAAGTAAAAAAAAGGGTTTTGAAGTTCGAAGTCTATAAATATTTTTAAGGAAAAAATAACCCATATTTATAAAATGGTATAGATTTCTCCCGGTATCTCCAATATACTTAGACATTATTTTAAGCTGTGATTTTTTGCTCCTTTTCTGTAAATTGATGTTTATTTTGCACTGTTTTGTATGAAAATGTTAAATTAAATATTATCGATAAATATTGACGCAAAAAATTTCTTGCATCAAATGTACAACATTTGATTTTAAGGTATTGCACGTTTATATATCCGCAAGAAAATATTTTCTTCTTTCAAGAAAATTATTTATTTATTTAAATACTTTAAATTTCTACCCAGAAATATGATTTCTTATTTTAAAAATGATCTACATAGATTTTATAGAAACATGTTTTGTATTGTATATTAATGTATCGTTTGTTTAATACAAAATTGAATAGTTTTGGTCAAATGATTGTATATACTTATTTTAAGAATATATTTGGAAATAAATATTTCGTAGTAAAAAAAAAATATTATTTCAAACTCGCAACACCTAGTACAACAGATAGGATCGTTTGTAAGTTTAACCAACCACACATAGGTCGGTTTGGGACTTATTAATGGTTCTCATCAATAAGTCTTTAGATCGATCCAGCTGTTTTATTGTCGTTACTCACAAGGACATGTGTATACACAGAGCGTAAGTGGCTCCATCTATCGTGCTACTTCCCACCTACGCCATTCTGTGACCTGCTACAATTTTCTTTCAAGAAAACATAAGTTTGATTATAATATGCTACATTCGTCTTGAATAATTGCTACATTAATGCTAAATTTTAAATATACATCTATATTTTAAGGAATTGGTAGTTTTGAAACAAATATGTTTGCAATTTAAGATGAACTGTAAGAGATATTGTAGTTAAAGTCCGAGATAATAAGTTTCAAAACTATAAAAGATTTTAATTAAATTATACATATATATTTACAAATAATATAAACTAAGAAAAATTATAGATTACAGCAAATATTTCACTTAGTTTGATGAAAGTATATAGGTACTTTTGAATAAAATAAAATAAAATTTATGGCAAATATTTCAATTTAAAACTCATTTGATCTAAATACTTTTTTTTCAGTGTACGTAACTAAATTGAAGCCAAATTTTGAAAATTTTTTGTGTAATTATTTTGTGTTATAATTTTACTGTATTTGCATTTTGTATAGTTTTGATTACTAAACATACAAAGCCTATTAAAGTGAGTAGCACTGTGTCAGCTGTCAAAAACACATTTGAAGTTGATGAATGATTTCACTATTAGAAAAAATTGGCACGTGGTCTACGAGGCAAAAAAGTTTGGGGACCTCTGATGTACACGGACTATTGGCAGACCTTGTATTTTTTTAAATTGCCTGGACTAATTTGAGGATGTTTAGAATTTTATTCCAGTGCACCAATTATTATGTATAATTTCTTTATAATTTTGTCATGGTTTGGAGGTTCTTTGTGTTAAATTTGCCTATGTTACATACAGTACTCTTGAATGAACTCGATGATAAAAATACGAATTTCATATCCACATTTCATGGGAACAATCGAAACATTAAAAAAAATACTCTTAGTTTATTTAAAATATCTGCAGTTACATTATCTGATGAATGATAAAATATTAAGGGATTTTTTCGCTTAGGATCTCCATACACGTTTGGTTACATCTGCTAAATGAAACAATTAGTTTGTAATCTATTTTATTAAAGCGATATTTACTATTTTCCGATATAATTAAATTATTTGTGTTTCTACTGGAAAATTTAAACGATGTTTAAGTATTCACACCTTCTACCTTCATTCAGGGTAACATTTAAAAAAGTAGTTATCGGTATTTTTACAATGCGCAATTTTTTTAGTTCATTATACTGCAACACTGAAATAATTTAAATATATATTTATTTTATCTACGCTGATGTTTATGTGTATATTATGACATTGGCAGAACACGAACATATCGAGGAACAATGATTGTAAAAAAAATGCTTCTCTGAACTTGTTTGAAAACAAATATTTGACATTTTTCTGGTGTATTGAATTTACTGACATATCGGCTATTATTTTCAATCGTCTTACTAAAAATCGCCATTAAAATTTAAAACAATTAATTTTTTTTAATTAGAAAATCTTACCGTGTTTTAATGTCAAAAAATCCGCAGCAACTCCTGATTTTTCATAATGGAAAATCTGTCCAGTCACGTACCATTCACTTTTACACAACTTTTCACCAAAATGACATATCGGCAGGTTAAAGGCGGCACCTAAAATGTGATGAGTTTTGCATACTGCACATTGCCTACCATAAACAACAATTACATTATAATTTATATATGCCTAAGGTCAACTTACGTCTGTTAAACACGCATGGGGTGAACCAAATGACTTTTATATTAAATCAGTTAAATGACATGAAGTATGTACCTTGTCAAGAGTGAAAAAATAATTTGGTTGTACGCTCATACAGGGTAGTCCGATATTCCTTGCATCAACAACGAACTACCACGAATTCTTGGGGTCAAAAGGTAAAAATATGTTTTTCCCCGAAAAACTAAAACTTCTATGTATGTTGATGTCATGTGGATGTCACTTTTTGACGTACTTAGTTGTAAGTAAAGCTACATGCAAAAAAAGATCAGATAATTTCTGTAAAATCGGCACACATATTTGGAAACTACAACTTGCTTAAAATTGAATACTTATAATCGTTGTGTCAATTTTGAAAAACTGTAGTAGCGATTTTTTATCTAAAATGTGACGTTATTCATCGCAAAAACGCTCTCTAATAATCTCTGTAACGATCTTTTCATTTTTAAATTTTATACAGAGATTTTCTATTCCGGGTATTCATTTTTAATGTATGTAGTACTTTACAATTCTTACTTTTTTATTAATTTTTTTCCCAATAAATGTCGAAAAACTGTCTCATAATAAATTTTTGATAATTAAAAAAGCGAAACAAACAAATAGCTAAACAGAGAAAATTGAGAAAGAGAAAAACTAAAAGAGAGTAAGGAGAGGGTAAAAAGGGTAAAAAATAGTCAAAAAAGAAAGAATAAAAAAATTGGAGCAAAAACAAAGCTAAAAGCTCGGTAGGAGCTTAAAAAGAGAGAACTTAAAAAGAGAGTCAATGAAGAGCAGGAAACAAAAGAGAGTCTAAATGAGATTGCTCGGAGGGGGAAACAAAAAAGCAAGAGAGAGCGAAAACCAAAAAGAGAAGAAAAATAGCTAACAGATAGGGAGCTGAAAGAGGGGAGGAAAAAAAAAGCAAAAAAGTTAAATAGAGACCTAAAAAAGAGGTAAATAAGGTAAAGACAAAGTGTCACAAAGGGGGAACCAAAAAAAGCAGAGATCGAGAAAAAATGAAATTTTAAACGCAAAGAGAGAGCAAAATGGACAAAACCAACAAAGAGGGAGCCAAAGAGGGTCCAAAAAGAGGAAATAAGAGCTAAAATAACAAGAGGGCAGAAAAGATTAAAGTATAGAGCGAAAATAGAAAAAAGAGCGCAACAAAAACAGACGGAGAGTCAAAAAAGACGGTAAAAACAAAGAAATGTAAAAGAGAGAGTAAAAGAGGAACTAATAGACAGACTAAAGAGAGTTTAAAAATTGGCGCATCTAAAAAATCGTGACAAGTTCACAATTTGCAATTTTGAGAAAATTATACATAATTTCCAAATACGTACCTAAAAAATATTTGAACTCCATTTGTTTTTTGCGATATTACCTTCAAATCTAGAAGTGCTGTAGATGATGATGTTTCGCTAAAATAGACTGATATTAAAAGTTGTTTGTTGTCGATTTTGATATGAAAAATTCCAGTAAATAGTAAAATGTTTCCATTTTCGAAAAAAAAAAATTAAAAAGATCTCACTTTAGAACCTGTCCCATAAATTTGCATGAAAAACGATATTTTTTTAATGTTTCGAAGAAAAAAAAACGTCATTCTTTTTCAAAAAACACCTTTTTGGCTTTCAAATCAAAAAACACCTCAAAGAAACTAAAAATCGCAAACGAACAAAATGTAAAAAAGTTTGATATCTTTATTTTTGCGAAGTTACATTTGAAAATTTTTTTACGAAATTATTCAACTGCTCATAACTTCTTAAGGGGTGGAAATAATTTGAAAAAATTCATGAAAGCTACTGTAAATGAGTACTAAATAATACCCAAACATCAGGTGTACATTTTTACCACCGAAAAAATTCTGATTGTGATATAAAGTACTTTTTGCGGATCAGTTTTTGGAATCAAACAATTTGAGATCGGGACTTGGACTTTTCGCAATTCCTACTTGGTTTTGCCAACCATTTCCAAGGATATCCACTTAATATCCACCTCGCACTACCCGGACCGAGCGGTTCACTTTCACACGCAAAATCGCATAGAAACAGACGCTTCTATTATTGCTCATTAATTATTGTCTAGATAGCGTCATTATTCACATGCATACCTTGTCCCGGAATAAGTACGCGGGCGGTTAGCATTACGCCTCGGCTTTATCTTATAGATAAGTGGTAGTAGTAATAATCAGAAATCGTTCGGTTCCAAAACCATTCGTCGCCGGATTTCCAGTGGATCACCAGGAAAAATGAACAGGAGCACAGAAATTCTGACGCAAAGGAGGATGGAGGTAAGTTGTCGCATCTATTTTTAATCGTTTGGTAATTCGTTTGTTTTGGTGACGGATACGGTTATGTCACATCGCAGACTTATATAATTGTGCAGGTACAGAGCGGTTCAACAATATTGCCTTAGATGAATAATTTTCAGTTGCATTTGGTTTGAAAAGTGATGCTTCAAAATGATTTTTAAGTCAGTTATATGCTTAAAATACAATCGCTCTTGTAACAAAGGGATTCGTTGTTAGATTTAATTAGTTTTTTTTTAAAATAATAGTGCTTAAAAAGTTCCATTACGTCACATATAAATTGCTTACCGCTTTTTTCATTTAAAATCTGACTACTCCACTGGATTTTGCACCCCTGAATTGAGTGTGTACTGTATTTAGCGAAGAAATATTAATTGCTAATCGTATCATTAAATTAATGTGTTTTATCATTCGCGAGCTCTCTAAATAGGTGTACAAATTTGAGAAAAATATGTAAAAAAATAGATACATGTATAAAAATCGACATAGACATGATTAAAGGCAATTAAAACCTGAATAAATCAATTTAATGGATGATATAGCTTTATACCCTTTTAAACGTGTTGAAATACAGTTTAAATAACATTCTGCTTGAAGATTATTTAATTAATTATGTTTCAATTGCAATCTCATTTTATTCTTAAGGTGGTTCATTAGATAAGCTTTGAATGTAGTAATATTTTTATATGCACTGCCTGGCATTTATATTTAATTATAATAAACTTGTAAATAGTGTAAATACTAAAGATGTGGGTGAGTATTAAATATACAAGTAGTCACTTTAATCAATTAGTTTACTATAAATCTAAAATAAATTACTTTTAATACAGACATTACGAATTCATAAAAGTGCCTTTCGGACTAAAAAATGCCCCAAGTGCTTTCCAAAGAACGACCCATAACGTTATTCGTTAAGGTACAAAATTTGTTGAGGTTAGTTAGATGGTATGATGGATTTTTTCGACCTCTTTACAAGAGCCTATTACAAATTTAAGAAAAAGATTTGCAGTAAAAGTGATCACTTACTTTTAAATCCTGGTTATTATATGTAATTGCATTTTTAATTAGGTATACAAATTTCTGTATCCTGGGTGTTCCTCAGGGTTGAAATTTTGGCCCACTGTTATCCTTAATTTTCATTAATGATATTCTAATTTAAAAACACATCAGTAGTTGTTTGAGGACGGATGAAAAAAGAAGCTGCAGCTTTTGTGTGTTTATGTCATTCTTTTTTATTCGTAATTATAAGGAAATTATTCAAACGTTAAATTTAAAAAAATTGATTTTCAATTGGACATCAAGAACAAAATGTATAGTTTTGAAATCATCCCGTTTAGATTTCGAAAGTTATGGCCACTTTGGGTTAAACACATAGAAAAAATATTTGTTTTATAAAATTAATTCGATTGCTATACTATTTTACTCATACCCAATATAATGTAGCTGATAGTAATCAGAAACAACCACCCAATAAATTTTAATAAGGTGCCTTTTTATTATTAAACAGCTTAATAAAGAATGTAATTGTATTGTCTCAGATATTTGTCGTGGTTGTGATATTATTTTTTATAGTGTTGTTCAAATAAAAACGTGGTCAAGTTGGTTCTGAAAATTTGGACGTAGGGCGTAGCGTATAGCAAATGAACTTAAACGTAATTTGTCAAAGCGCTATATCGCCGCTTATAACAAAGAGGGGGACACTTTCCGCAGCTCCTTTAATTGTTTGTTATTGTTATCACGACTATTCTTTAAAATAAAGTTATATAGTCATTAACGTTATTGAAACTGACAGCTGCTATACAGCTCGTTGAGAAATGAGGTTAAGTTGGTCGCTATAAGCAACTCCCTACGTCCAATGTGTCAGAGCCAACTTCGACCACGTTTTTATTTGAACGCTCGTTATTAGTCGATATTTCACATATATTCATTAATTTTTACGTAAAATATTCTAATTGGATATCTTCATTTTCCGTTTTCTCAACGGTTCATTGTTTGTATTTTGTTTTTAGTTTTGTCTGAGACTTAAATTGTTTGATTTACAACTTTATCTTGTTATCTTTACACCTTCTATTATCTAGCCAAGTGCTTATAGTCGTAAATATAATACTATTGCTTCATATCAACGATATCGATACCTTGGTTACAAATTACAAGGGCAAATAGATACTTCTATAACTTTTACTACCAGTATATCGTTATTTTTATTTATCGCTGTTACTTTTTACTTTCTCCTGGTACCTACGTAATTAATAAGAAGAAAGTGTAAAATCGGTAGTATTATTGCTTTGTTGTACTGTCACGGTTACCAGTTTATGATTTGTACAAAAATATTATTTTATTTAAGGTACAGGGTGTCCGATTTTTTGATTAAAATTAATTATTAATTAAGTAATAATGAAAGACAGTTTCTTAAATGCGATATACAAACAATGTTTTAGAAAAATCTAAAAAAAAGTGATCATGTATATTTTACTTAAAATATTTAAAATCTAGGTGATATTACGTGAAGGAAATAGAAATTATTTCTTGTTGTATAGAGCGGATTGTAAATATTAATTATGCAGTTGCGGTTGAAATAATTTTGTAATAGAATAATTGTGAATTATGCAATGAATATACAGAGCTGGAATTTATATTTTGACACCTAAACACTTATTAAAAGAATTAGAAAAATATATTTTATAAATATACGTTTTTGAGATTTTCCTGTACTTATTTTAACTCATTAAACTAAAAGAACAGAAATAAAAAACCTTGTGTAGTTTCATACAAGGCGATTTCACTTTAAATACAGAAACTGCAGGAATAGATTAGTTGCTAAAAAATAAATAGAGCTTTCTCTATAAACTTTTTCCTGGGAGACGTGGTATTCGAGATACAGGATGTTTAAGTTTCCAAAAAAAAATTATATTTTCTGTCATGTCTTCATTATGCGCAGAACAATTTGAATAAAATTTACTGCAGCGTATTAAAAAACAACAAGAAACATTTTTCATTCATTTAACAGTATCTAAATGTAACATTATTTCCACAAAAAACCGCCAGTGGCGTATTTTTTTATTGGAAAAATGGGGCGGCACCCCCAGTTACATGCCACTGATCAAAGCTGCAAGGTTAATATTGCATTCAATAAAATGTCTAATTAAGTGAATACGCTGTAGTAAATTTCATTCGATTCCGTCAGCGCATTATGAATATATGGCAGAAAATATATAATTTTTTGTAAACTTTAACGCCCTGTATCTCGAATATCTAGTCGCGCAGGAAAAAAGTTTATTAGAGCAAATTCGACTTGTTTTTTGGTAATGAAGCTAGTCCTCCAGTTTCTGTATTTAAGGTGAAATCACCCTGTATCTTTGAATTAATTTAAATCTTATTTTTATTCGGATAAAGAGTTTTCTATCAATAATAATAAGGGAGATACGGCATAGGTGTGCCAAAAGAACAATGTTTCATCTAACATATATTTATGACACAATATTTTGCACCCTTTTCGTTATATCTCCCTTATTGTTAGAGATAGACCTAAGTATTATCTTGATACTTCGCTGTAAGCTGTATAAAAGTGTTTTCCATTTAAAAAAAGATGAAGATGGCCTTGTGTCCGCATTTTCTACATTCATTTATTTGTTCATTTTAATTAATTCAAAAAACACTGTCAAAAACCAATAAAATTTAAATTATTTTCCTAATTCATGACTCTCTGTTTAAATATTAAAATACAGTGTTTACAAACTTGGAGAGATTTTTTTAATAGTAAGTAAAATGGTGTGGGTAATAGTCAGCGTGCAAAACTATTACTATTAAAATTAATAAAAATTGTTGGGGAAACTTATTGAGGACCTCTGCTGTCTTCCCCTACGTAAAAATAAGGTGAATTGTAACCGTAGATAGTACGGCGCCACTTTTATTGTAGTAAACAAAAAATTGCTAATTGACGATGAAGTTAACTGCAATTCTTTAGGCATAGTGATTTGTGTAACCAGTGCCAGCCGAGCTATCGACGAAATCAGCGGTTCCGAAAATGTTTCTTCGTATTATTGTGGTCGTATTATAAATATTTCTGACGTGTATTTTAGTGAACTCTGATTACAGTTTGATATAAAGATATAATGTCAACCGTGTTTATTGGCCTTGATTCTCTTGAAATTATTACAAAGCCTTAATAAATGTTTACAAGCCACGTGACCGCCGTATTTAGACAACCAACATTGCACGGCTGGTACTGGCAACTAAAAATCTATAAATCTTTACCGAAATTTAATTACCAACATGAAGGAAATAAAAGTACTATTCCAAACAAAAATTATTATTCCCTCCAGAGATTATTATTTGATGTAGGTACTAAATGAACTTTTATTTCAGTCAAGCTCCGAACCACGACTGTCAACAACGTCCAAAAACTCCACCGTCGTGATAGTACCTTGGGACAAACAGAAAACCTACAGTTTTGCCATCTTAACAGCATGCTTCGTGATTTGGGCCTGCGTGTACTTTCCAGTGCTTCTAAGCTAGGGCACGCTGTTGCCCTGTGTCTACTCTATTACCTTTGAGATTATTAGTATTATGTGTCAAGTGATAAAGTAAATAGTTATTGTATTGTAGATTTTACTAAAATGGTTAAATAAAAATGTTGTTAACTCTAAAAAATACTACAAACTGTTTAGGGATGGTAAGTTAAAACAATGTAATATAATCAAAATATTTTATTAAAAAAATAATAGACATGAATTTAAGAGCCAGTGGCAATTAGAAAGGGTTTCGAAAGGATTTCTGACACTTGGTGTTGGTGGAAACTTCCAACGCCTACTGCAGGGGCCGCTTGAGCCTCTCTACCGCAATATATTATCTGAAAGACATATTTTTAACAGTTAATGACAGAGTAAAAGTACTAAAATAAGACAACGACTACAAAAAGCCTTCCTAGGATTGCAACAAGCTATTAAAATGTTTGGTTGGGCTGTAGTCTACTAAATCAAGGCGTCTGTGCAATTTCTAATTCTAGTTCGTTGACCTGATTCTGCGATTCTCCGCCTGTGGCAGCACGTTAGAAAAGTATTGCTGAATTAACGCCCAACTGTCATTTTGCCATAGACTAGCCGGTATCCGTTTTGGTTTGGGTGAACCGTATATCCACGGAGATTTTTGGCTTTTTGGCTTTCATATCATATAATAAAAATTTTTTTATGCGCATAAAAAAAGCGTGGGCTTAACTTTTGGCGGCACAATATGTTAAAAAAAATTTAAAAATGTTATATTTTTCTTCCTATTTAATTATGTATCTTTTCAAGAGTTGATTTTAGGCGAAAATGGAAGAGGAAAAAATGTTTGTAATTAAATTTTTTACAAAATATGACTAGTTACAAATCGAATGAATCTTGATTATTATTGTAAAAATCGAAAAAATCGCCAAAACTGGGGTTAAAAAAACATTACTTCTTGGGGAATTTTTTTGGGGTCTTTAAATTGGTTATAGGACCTTCATACTTGACTCAAGAAAAGTTCATGTTATGTAGAATCATCACTTGCAATCCAGATTTTGAAAAAAAATTTGCAAATTTTCTAAATTTTGCACAGCTACAACCAAGGCCTTTAGATGCTTGAAAATGTAATCACATATAGAAGGGCTCTCAAGCTTTCAAACGCTTTTTGAAAAATTCGAATCCGTCAATTAGGAGAGCTCTGGCGCTTGTTACATTGGTCGAATTTTTGTACTATAATTTTGCATTTTTGTAATATAATGTAATTTCTCATTTGCTTATATTTTAAACAATAAATAATATTTGAATTATACTTTAATCACAAAAGAAATGATGATTAAATTATTAATTAATTTAATTAATAATGTGCAAAATTTAGAAAATTTGCATTTTTTTTTTAAATCGATTGTAAAATTATTATGCAAAATCGATTTTGATGAAATTTGGTGTGATGATTCTACATAATATGAAATTTTCTTGACCCAATTTAACGATCCCAAAAAAAAATACCTAAAAAGTAAAGTTTTTTAACCCCATTTTTGGCGTTTTTTTCGATTTTTACAATAATAATCATGATTCATTCGATTTGTAACTAGTCATATTTTGTAAAGAACTTATTTATAAACATTTTTTTCCTCTTCCATTTTCGCCTAAAATCAACTCTTGAAAAGATACATAATTAAATAGGAAGAAAAATATGACTTTTAGAATTTTTTTTACATGTTGTGCCACCAAAAGTTAAGTCCACGTTTTTTTTATGCGCATAGAAAAATTTTCATTTCTAGTGATATTTGATTGCCAAAAAGTAAAAAATCTCCGTGGATATACGATTCATCCAAATATGGACTTTTTGAAACAGATACGTCTGGACTACCAATATAAACGGCAATCGCACAGACGTGTGCGAGGGAGATAGAGCTAGTGCGGGCTAATGCTTCAGTAACAGAACGTCGACTGTAATGCGTTACACTTAATTCGACCAATCAGCTAGCTATACCCCTTTTTTCTTGTTGGCCCGTACTGTTTGAAGTTAAAATGATTTTAACTACATTTTGTGAAAGTGTGGTCAAGTTAAAAATTTTGAAAAATTATAGTTTATAAGGCCTATGCTTAGAACTGATGTTAAATGTCAATGATGAAAAAGCAGGTAATTGTATGTACTAACCTTTCCTCCTATCAGATTTTCGAATCTGGGTTTGACGAAGAACCACGCTCCCATATTTTGAGGTTCTTCTTGACACCAGACAAAAACTGTAACAACATTTTTGAATGATGAAGGTAAGAATTAAGATATGGGATATGATAATCTAAAAACACCCTAATGAAATTTCAATGAGATTTTTTCAAAGAGTTAGAACCCAAACAAAACGTTGACATCCACCCAAGTGCACCTTTTTTACCCACCTTTTGCATTTTTGTACTTTGTTATTTCTTGCCTGAGTTCCAACGTTGGGAACGGACAGAAACTTTCCACTCTCACAATAGCTGCATCTTTTACTCCCATATCTTCTCTCTTCTCGGCAAGGGAATAGTAGTGCTTACCAGACGTTAAAAGAACTTTTTGCGCCTTGGCTGGATCGACCAGAGGATCACCTAAGACAATCATATTACTGCAAATGTCTTACAACCACACTGAAATGCACTGTTCGTTTATTCCAAAGCAAGCACATTTCAACGAGGTTATATTTCGGTAAATTAACCTATAACTGTTCTGAAGTGCGTCCCCGGAGCCATATCGGAAAAGTCAGATGTGCAGAAAGAATGCCTCAAGAGGATTTTTGGCGTTACTATGATCAAAGGCTTCCTAAAGTTTCGAACCATCTGCAAAATAATAAATCATATCCAGGAATGGTCTATTATTATTATATATTTCCACGGACAAGAATATTTATTAATTATACATTTACCTGCCTTCTTAACAAGTGAAAATACTGGGCTGGGGTACTAGGTTGGCACACCTGCACGTTCACATTATCCGCGTCCGCCCTGTCTTCCTTGGAGTCTGTCAATTGCAAAAACCTCTCCAACCTACAAGAACTGTGTTCAGGGCCAGCACCTTCGTAGCCATGGGGTAGCAGAATGGTTAGACCACTTTGCCACAACCATTTAGCTAATTTAAAAAACGTATATGAACATCAGAAGTACAAGATCGATTTTGCACTTTACCTTCTCCAGAGGTGATGAAGGTGTCGAAGATAATCTGCGCCCCGTTGAAGAAGTCTCCGAATTGAGCCTCCCAGATGACCAGATTCATGGGGCTCTCTACGCTCAGGCCGTATTCGTAGCCTAGAACGGCTTCCTCCGATAAAATACTGTTCGCGACTTCCAGGAAAGCCGTCTGGTCCGGATGGATGTTGTTTAATGGTATGTAGATGTTGTTGGTCTGCTGGTTCACCAGCATCACGTGCCTGTGGGAAAACGTGCCCCTTCCGACATCCTGGCCACTAATCCGCACGTTACATCCTAAAAAAGAATTTTTTAAAGGAAAGAAACACGTTGAGTGGCTGCTATTATTACCTTCAAATAAAAGTGAACCCATCGCTAACGCTTCTGCTGTGGACCAGTCAATGTTAACACCTTCAGCTATTTTAGACAGTCGATTTTTGACGTGAGTCCGCAGTAATGTGGGATGTAATTCCTAAAAACGATGTTATTATCGTTTGATTTTATCAAGAAGATGCAACTTACGAAATAACTAGGATATTTCACCGACTTAGTCCCAATGAACGTCATAAGATCCATGTCTATGCCAGTATCCCAAGTGGTGATCACGTCGTCAGGTTGCTCCATCCCTTGCCAATGCTTCTTAAAATGTACATCCTGCAAAAAAAGCGCTTCAATAAAGAAGACATCTATTGCGATAGCGTCTTTCTTGATTTACTTCAAACTTTATATTTCATGGAACAAAACCTTTTCGCTTTACCTGCGGTTGGTAACCATCAACAGCTCTCAGGTTATCATCCAACCAGTTATAATGGCCATCGACTATGCCTTTGCGGTCTTCTTCGGTTAGAATACCCTCTTTAATCAGCTGTTGGGCGTACAGATCCGGTACTGTTCTGAAATATCTCAATTAGATTTTTATTGAGTTGAGTAAACAGTTTTACCCTCTGGATCTTATTATTTCATATAAAGAAGGGTTTGTAAAGGTTGGATCGTCCAATTCGTTATGACCCCACTGCCTATAGCAATTCAAATCGATGAAGACTTCTTTCCGGAATTTACGTTGGTACTCGAAGGCCAACTTTGTGACTTTCAAAACGTCCTGAAACAGAAAATTGTTAACAGGACGTAGCTGTGTATGAAAAAAAGGTAAATTCGTCATTCTTATTCTTAAAAAATTACTTCTGGATAGTCTCCGTTGACGTGGATAACAGGTGCATTAATAATCTTGGCCAAGTCGGTGCAATATCTGGATGATCTGCCTCTATCTGATGGTGTAGTGAAGCCTAATTGATTGTTTACTACAAGGTGGATGGAACCGCCGATTTCAAAATGCGGTGTACCGCTCAAAGTAAGGCATTCTTGGTTTACTCCTTGCCCTATTAAAGCAGCGTCACCATGTACCTAAAAAATGTCGTTTATTTCAAGTTACTCCACATGCAGGATTATAGTCAAAATAAATGAGGTTAAAACTAGTAGAGACGTTCCATTTACTTGATCTCTTAAGTGGCCCTAGATCAGTAAAAAGGAGGAAGGTTCAATTACCTGTATATTTATAACTTTATCTCCCCATCTGGAACTTTTACCATAATCACCGTCTTTGCTAATCATTTGCTTGCCTCTAGTTTTTCCCATAGAAACTGGATTTACTGCTTCCAAATGTGATGGGTTGTACAATAAAGAAACATGTACTTTTTTATCCCCATACTCCAAGTCTGTCGACGAATCTGAAACAATGCAACACATGAAGATTGAGATAAATATCCGATTTCCTTCTTTTATCCATTTATAATTAATTAGTCGTAATCTTTTAACTTCAAGCACTTACTACAATGGCTTAGAACATCGCCAGTGGATTGGTACTGAGACGGAAAATCTGGATTGCCTTTCAATTTGCTGAACATTTGAACTGGTGGAAAATTGAGCATGCCCGTCAAAAGATTTAGTCGTCCCCTATGAGGCATTGCTAATACTATCTGTTCAATCGTATCTGAAATCATCTCGTTATTTAATTTTAATTATTTCATAGTGATACCCATCTCTAGAGGTATTTTACCTTGTGACGAACATCGGAAGATTTCTGAAAAGAAGGCCATCATACTCTCAGCACCTTCACCGCCGTATCTCTTAACTCCCGTGAACCTTTTGGCTAAAAAATTGTCAAATGCCTGAGATTTTAGAAGATCCACCGCTAAGCGAGTTTTTGTGTCTTTGTCTATGTCCTTATACGGTAATGCTTCTAACTCTCTAGTAAACCAATCGACTTCTTCCTCTTCCTAAAAAGGAGAAGTTCAGTTTCTGTAGGTACTCAAACGTCAAATCAATTCTAAAAACTGATGACGTGGCAACCAAATAACTTGCCGTAAAGCTTACCTCCAAATGTAAAAATTCCGCCGCCACTGTCTTACTGTACGCTCTATTTAAGAAATCGACAGCCTCTGCTATCGTCCCTTCTTCCTTGTCAGCATTGATAATACCCTTAAATTTGACTATGTCGCTCTGCGAGAAACCATAACTCTGAATATCAAGTTCTGGAACAACGCTGAGACATAATTTCGCGATATTTCACGTTTTTTTTTGTAATTCTAAGTGCTCACCTACAAGTTTTGGTAAGAGAAACTGGGTTTATTTCTGAATACTTATGCGCATGTTGCCTGTATGCAGTCACTAGTCTGTAAAAATTGCTTTGCTTGCAGCGAAGGTCTAAAACGTCTTCTGGCACTGCAAAAATGCAATCCAAATAAATAATTATCTAGATATCACTGCAGCACAAAATGCAGTCACGCAACTTGAACCCAAAGTATTCAAACCACGAGCCGCCTCTGTTTAAATATAGCCATGTATGTGTTTGTACTTACTCGTACCTCTATAAATACTTTTAGTTTTCTTCATAAATCCAAATACGTTGTCGCTATGGTAACACCTAACGGCAAACGCATAGCTTTTAAGTAATCCGAAACTCCTACGGTAATATAATTCACAAACATTTAAATGCATTGTAAACGAGGTTATTTGGACGAAACAGTTTGAAATACTAAACAGTGTATTACTTAAGCACATGCGACGGAACTTCTCTTGACCTTACAAACGTTATATTGTTTATTTGGTAAGTTTATCGTAAGATACTGTGTAGAGAACGATATTTCGCTACATAGATTATAGATAACAACTACTGTGCATCGAATTCGGTAGTTTTTTAAATACCGCAACAGAGACTTATGAAGTAGGCATTGGCGTAGCCAGAGGGGGCAGAGGGGTCAAGGCTCCACCCTAATTGTTGCTGCAGCCTGGTGCAAGTTTCAAAGTGTTTAGGTTTTGAAATTTTCTATTGGTAGGTCGCTGATTGCGCGACTTTTTTTAGAATCAAGCGAAAAATTTTGTAGATTTTGAAGTGTTTTTTTAGAGCCGCTCTGAGACCTCCCCTAGCAATGGAAGTACGTAAATATTTTGATACATTTTATTATCTTAAGACCATTGTCCTTTTATATCTATTTTTAGTACGTTATTACTCAAATACTGATTAAAAACGTGCGAAAAACGAAACTTTGGGTACTATCTTATTTATAAAACTAAATATTTTTAAAAAATTATTTATATTATTAATAAGTGTAAATTATAATAATTTTTGGTAGCATTTTGTGTATCACTTATTAGAAAGCTTTTAAGGCTAGACTGTACAAAGTATCACCATGGTGTAAATATGTATGGTGTGCTTACGTGCATGTGGTGACGTCAGTAACGAGACTGACGAAATCAGGGCAACTTCCTGTAGATTCTTTAATATTACATTTCCATTTTTTTTCTCACAATTTATATTATTGTACAAAACAGGACGTTTCTTCAGTCTTCAAACAAAATATTTATTTTGATATAATATTTAAGGTTATGTTCACGTTTAGACTTTAGACCCTATATAAATACTTAAACTCACTATTTTAATAGTATATTATTCAACGAGCGTATAATGATGGGTATTATTCACGAAGTGAAGTTTACGGCCACGAGCCGCAGGCGAGTGGCCTAAATCACCGAGTGGATAATAGCCATTATACGGGAGTAGAATACTATACTTTATCCACGACTACTAAATATTTTTGTTGAAGTTTTTTTTTGTTTTTAGTTCGTTTTTTAACACAATTTAACACAAAATATCAAAACACTGAGAAATCTATGCACACAAACAATAATGTTGACAGGTTTGAGTCAAATTTGTTTTGTTTTAAAAGCTACTTAGCTTCATGAATTGTTTCGAAAAACATGGTATGTTAAGCAACAGATAGACGACACGCACAAACGAAGTCGCTGATGGCTCAGTGTAGATGCTCCTTCCCTTCCAACCGCTGGTCTCGGGTTCGAATCTGGTCTAGGAAAATTCACTTTTTTAATTTTTTTTTATATGTACAGCACTGAATTGAAAATATTTAGTGGTTTACACGATAAAATTTAAAAAAACCGACTGTTTGTAGCAGAACAATATAATATTATAGCTAAATCAAGGAAGCATCTGACAGTAGTGATTAATGACTCATTAATCACTGCCGTGATTAATGGGTATTAATAAGGTCGAGCAAACAGACGTATAATGGGTACATTATACAATAGTCGTGGATAAAACTATTTATACTATATGTAAATATGGCGTTTTATGACTTATATGTCACATGGTAAATATAGGTAGCTACTAGGTATTTATGTCAAAATGAAAGTTTGCATCTCATCTCGTTACTAACGTCACAACTAATTGTAAGTTATAACAAAATCTTCTTCTTTCCAGTTAACTGAAATGCCCTTTTGGCACTTAAGAAAGATAAAATGTTGAGTTTCGAAAAAAATCGAGCAAGAGATTTAACTTGTATAGTTTTTCAATTGAAGAACCTATAATTTCAAGGTATGTAGCAGGCTCGGTCTCTAAGCAGCAACTCGGCATTGAAATATTTGAAAAACTTATATAATAAAATTGTTCGAGGACATAAATAATTAAAATATGTTGTTGGCCAAATGAACATATAATAGAAATTTTCTACACATTATATACAAATTATTATAATTTTTTACCTTTAGCAGAAAATTTTTTTAGGGACGCCTATGAAACTCATTAAATTTTATTACCAGACGTTTTTTTGCATATTCAACTGACTTCGGAAGGTCTATACTACCAATTTTTTTCGGAACACGGCGTATGCATTTTCTGTCAGTTAGTTTAAAAGAAATATACTTTTATGTGGTTAGTTATAATATTTGTTAATTAATTAATTAATTACTACACTTTTTTACAAAACCCAAATTTATTTTATCAAACACAAACTTACACAAACATTTACTTAATAATATCGAAAATACAGGTAGATAAACACAGGGACATTTTTAACTACCCACACTGTAAATAGATTAAAAATAATGCTAACTATTTATTTGTGTATTAAAATCAGCTGAACAAAATAAGTTATCTTTGACACTGGGGCAAACTTATCTTGACATTTGAACTCTCCAATTGTCCTAACAGTTTATATCTGTATTAAAGTTTAGGAAATTTAATAACGCCACTATCGAAAAATGTAACTGAATTATATAAGCATAAGTTATAGCATTAACTAAAATCTGCAATATCTGGAATACAAATCAAGTATTGTAAACTTTTAAATTTCTGGAAAGGCGCTCCCTATCATGTTCCTCCCTCTGTACCTATATGTAAACGTTCTGATGATAAATCTGTTGCCATTCATTTTCAATGGGCATATTTTGTCGGCCCTAAGAATGTAACAGGTGGAATACAGGGCAATCTCCAATTCTGGACTTGTCCCAATGAACATTGACCCAACAGGTTTATCAACGTCGTGGAATGTAAAGTGGTACTTTAGGATGGACCCTTTCTGAAAAAAAAAATCAATTGCACAACTCAAAAAAGGAGATTTTACGTTTAAAACTCGTGTTTTATATTTCGGTAAAAATAAAATTAAAACAATTTTATGATGAAGTTGCGTCTTAACGCCATCTACCATTTTGTACTGTGTATCAATTTTACACAGTAAATGATAGAGGCCTTGTCGCGACTTTATTCGATGTCAAATATTTTGTACTCACATTTCCCAAGTCGATTTTCTTCATATACCCCAAATAATTTGCCCTCTTGTTCTTCTCCTCCTCGTTAAAGTATACCCAATTATGTAACCCTGATACTTGACTATTCTTCAGTTCTGCGAGGAATACGTGTTCGAACCCGCTGGATCCTATCCGTCCTTGTCCTCTAGAGTACATTCCAAACCATATAGCACGCAGCAGATCCTTGAATTCTTTAGGATCTTTCCCAAGCTTTCCTACAGTCGAGAAAAAAATTAAACACACAAAAGTAACTCCTGTTTTTTCAGATACCTTTCTTAATCAAAAAGTTTCTAGTATGCTGCATCACTGGTGTGGACAATATGGTATCCAATAAATCGTTTTCTTCGTTTTTTTCTTGAGCTGTGTAGACTTCATTCTGGTTCGATTCTAGGATGTAATTGTTGTAGAGCAACATGAGTTTTTCTATGGAAGGTATGGAATACGCCTTACTGTCTATAGAAAGCAGTCTAAAAGCAGGTAAAAATTTTTAACGCGAAACTTGATCATAATTGACTCTTACTGTTATTACAATATGATTTTTATTTGATAAATGTTTAGTAGGTATTTTATTTTTTTGCTTTCTTTTAAAACTTACGGCAAGGGGGCTTCATCATTTGCGGACCGAGAAGTGGTCATTCCTTGCAAGTTCACAGTAACAAATCTAGCCGCGTTATTGGTATCCTTCGACAAAAGCTCCTCTGAGAATTCCCTTAGTTCATAATCCTCCACGTCTCCCCCAGTCTTTTTATTACTCGAACCCTGGTTTACATTTTGATTCGCCGTATCCGAATTACTCGTCGTGGACCCTGCCGAAACCACACCTTTCATATTATTGCTATTGCTATTCCCTCCACCACCTCCAACAGGCTGACCAGAATTCACGATTTGATTCTGACCAGGTATATTCGAGGTTGGTCTTTGATTTGGCCCATTTTGGCTCACAAGTTGAACAGCCGCTTTATTTGTTTGACTAGGTTTATTCGAGTTTGGCCTCTGATTGTTCACATTTGCAATCCCCCCTCTTTCGTTGTTCAAGAAATTCGTGTTGACAACGCCTCTGGATGGAGTGAGGGTATTTCTCATCCAATTGGGACTGTTGTCTGGACGCACCCACATAGGTTGATTGTTTGGTCGGGCATTCTGGGGGGGATTTGGCTGTTGACTTCTCTTTTGGCCTAGAGCGGGCCAAGGGGTTGTAGATTGTAAATTTGAGTTCCACTGAGGGCCAGGTAAAGGTGCGTTATTGTTGTTGGTTGCTATTTGGCTCCACGTGTGATTGTTATTAGGTTGTATACCAATACCTATCATTGAGTACAATGACTTGAATGTAACATGTCAGATATATGATCCCTTAAACTGTGTTTGTAACAACGTAAGCCTCTACCTATTTATTTAAGCAATTGACCCTTTGCAACCACTATAATTTTTAACAATGCATATAGGAAATAAAGCGTAAGCACCAGTATAATTTACTGATCTTATAATTTCATTTACATAAACTAAAATGTGAAACTAAGATTCAGTCTAGAAAAAATAATTTATATCATTTATTTTGTAAGTGCCTGCGCCCTACGCCACTGGTTCATGCCTCATTGAAAATGGTGGTAAATGGGAAAAACATGAAAATGGAAATATGTATTGAAGTTAGAAATGAAATTGCTTTGCCCCATTAATACTACCAGTTAATGCCAGTTACATATTTATTTAACAGTACTTACACAGCACATCTCCTATTATCACTACCACGACAATTACAAAAAACGATACTAACGAACGCAAAGACATAATAACAAATGTCGTTTTATACTTTGTTATCTCATTCTAACTACTTAATTGGCGATTTTAGATATTAGATTTAATATAAACATCTAACTTAAATAAAACATTGCTTTAAAGCTGGTGTCAGCAGAGCGAAAACTTAGGAATAATTGTGAAAGTTTGCGATTTGATTCGACCTTGAGCCATATGATAATGTACCATAGAGCGGATTCTTCCTTGAAGGTCTGATTTAAACAGCAGTGGAGGAACATGGAAAGGAGAAAAGGCAAACCTTTATACATTCAATTAAATTTATCTACTTTACCACAATTTTGATAGGTTGTACGTAGTTTTCCTTTCCACCAAAACTACTAAGGCGTTCTTTTTGTTGTCAAAATTGTTGTCGTTTGTGTAGGTAGGTATATATAAATTATATTCTTTACATTGTCAAGTAGATGTATTGTTTCTTTGCCAATTCGATCTTTTATCTATTTATTTATTTCACAGTATGGAATTTTAACATAGATGGTATGGATTTTAATCAGTTGAGAATGCTGACAGGAAAGATACATCAAAAAATTTTTATTGGTTATGTTAACAAATGTCAACAAGGACAAAGGTTAAATCAGTGTTTATTTATGTATAGATAATAACATTAATAATATAGAGTGACACATATTCAGGGCGTATGATCATATACAAAGTGTTTGTTTAAGATGTAATTTAAATTGTTGAAATTATAAGTATAGATAAGTGAATTGCAGTGCTACAAATGTGATAGATATGGAGGAATTATTAATAATTGTTGAGAGTTTATTAAAATCTGAAGGTAAGGAAGAAACAGGTTTACAAGGGGAGTTCTATAAAAAGTTCTGTAAATTTAAATGCACCGAGAAAAACGAAGAAGCATACTTAACCGAATATGTCTTTCCCAAAGTGCAACTATTATGTGACAAACAAATTCTCCGGAAAGATATTATTTACCTAACTCTTATAACGTACAACAATTTAGATGTTTTAGAAAAGTGCATCGGATATGATAAATCAATATTTCAACTAAATATAGCAGACCCAAGTTCGTTATATGACTACACTATTTTTAAAAAACGACACTGGTTTTATGAGGTTTTCATTAATTATGACAGAGTTAAAGAAATTTTTAACAAAAACATCTTCAATAAGATCTTGGCCTTAAAAATAATTGAGGTAACGAATGTTCCGGAAATATCAATCGAACTAACAAAACTATTATTGGAAAATGTGGAAACAACAGATATAGATCCTTTTTGGAACAACTACATCAAAGAGATTGGGCGTATTATAAAAATGACCGATTTTTGTAGAGAAAGGATGCATAGTGTTGATGCTAATGAAATTTTCTTTTACATGAGTGAGAATTTTGCTTTGGAAACTTTTTCGAAATTTATGGACATTAAAAAAATGGAATGGAATGAGATATTAAACAAAATATATGAAGAAGAAGAACTACATCCAAATGGTAGAAATGTACAATCACAACAATTTTTAGCATTTTATGTTTTAGGAAGCATTTTTAAAATAGTACTCCTTAATGAAGATGACACAAAATTGAATGTTAATGAAATACTAGAAGATATAAAATCAAAAATATTCTCTCTTGAAAGTAAATCATTGCAAATCGAAGTGTTAGAAAATATATTTGCTATACTATTTCTCAAAACAAGTCACATACTTCAAAATCGATCTGAGGAAAAATTCATCTGCAGAGAAAAACAAATTAGACTGATTTTATATTTCATAAAAATGGTCTTTGATGATATTAAGTTAAAAAATTTGTACAACAAAGAATCAGAGGAGTATTTTAAATTCAACAATTTAAATAAATTTGTTACCGATGCGATTTGGAGGACAGAATTAATAGAAGACATAAAAGAACCTGTGAAGTGCGAAACGAATCTGTTAAAATATATGCTGGCAACACCACAGTCGTTGATACAAATGTGTCTGAAGCGTGGCGATTTTAAGAGAGCTTATCAAGTGATAGAGGTAAGTGTCTTATTAATTTAATTAATTTTTGTTGCGATTCTTTTTTTATACTAATACTTTTTTTAGATATTCGCTCTTAAAGAAACTATTATATTCTCTGAAGTAGAATATTTAGAAAAGCTGCAAATTCTAAGAAAAGATTTGAAAAGAGCCTTCAAAATATGGGAAATTCAAAAAGTTAATCCCAATAAATTATTGACCACGATAGAACCCGACGTGACCGAAACCGTAATGATGTTTTTTAAAGACAACCCTATTCCCTACGATCCTGAAACGGAGCAACTCGTTACTAACTTAAGCGAGCAGAAACAATTTTTTTCTCACTTCAGATATGAACACGAAATGTTCATGAACATGTTGGACTTGGCCATTACCCAGTCAAAACATTTCGAGCATTGCGCGAATTTGATCCATCTAGCGTTTGACAACGATAATTTAGACAGAAACATTCATAGTAACTATAACAAATTTTGCACCAAACTGTTTGCATCATGGAAAGAAATAGGGTACGAGAAAAACTTAACGCCTTTGGACATTATAATATCACCACATCACTATCTCGATCTTAATAAATATAAGAAAGAGGAACAGTTCTACGTAAATTTAGCAGAACTTTACGAAGAATTCTACCGGAACTTAAATGTTGATGAAAGTGGAGTTTTAAACAGTAACCATCCTAGTCACAAGTCGCTGTTGAAGTTAAATTCGCTGTGCAACGAATTCGTGGAGTGGAACCAAAACCGTAAGGACAACACCAAATATATCGCCAAGTTATACAACTACCTGAAAGCTTTCTCAAAGATCCTATACATAGAACAAAACTCCTCCGACATTGTATCCCGAGGCAAAAATACTTCATACTTCAACCTTCTGTACCACAATCGCTCAGAACTGACGGGAAAACTTCTGTTTGAAAGAAACCTAGACCCGAGCGAATTCGAAAAGTACTTCGGAAAATTGAAATTAGACTATTTGTACCACGTCATAGGCAACTGTTTCCCAACGATTAACCTACACTCAGAAGAAAACGTCACGAAAGAAGAGTTATATCCTGAAAACAGCCTATACGTGCCAAGCAAAAGCATCATAACTTATATTCAGAAGAGGAACTGGCTTCTGGCCTTCATTTTAAGCGAAATGTACAAACTGGAAGACGTAAAAATAGACATAAGCGAAGTCAGAGTGAGACCGTTTTTAAACTATATGAAATTACCCAAGATTCAGTGCCTGAAGGCGTTGTTTGAGAACAACGAGATCGTGACAGCGCTACAAAACGAGATAAGCACCCAGAAAGTGTCCCAGTACGTTAATACGAAGATTTTAAAAAACGACTACTTGACTTCGTCCCAGTACAGTCAGGCCTCGAACGACAGCTTTGAAGCTGCCCAAGAAATATTGGAAGACGCGATCAAAACTACCAACTGGAAGGAACCGTACGATATCGTCGATAGTATTCCAGTAAATCAACTGAGAAAGTCGCCGGTTCTTATCGAATTGAAAGATATGATACTCGTTAACTTAGTGCAGGATAGATTTGAGATCGATTACTTCCGATACGTTCAGTTTATTAGCGATGCAGATCTGAGAATAACTACCATCTTGCATAACATGAGACAGTGGCCAGGCGGATTTTGTATAGACGTGATAAAATCAGAGATTACCAAATTCGAGACAGTCCAGAATGCTAAACTCGGCGAATTGAAATCGTGGTTACGACAAATAGAATTGTGTGAGGAGGTAAGTAAATCGTCATGATAATGTTTTTTTTTGGTATTATCATTTTATTTTTGTAGTTACGAAACATTCTAGACGTACCGAGCTGGTCGAAAGCCTTTGAAATTTGCAAAGATAGACCTAACGAAGTTATTTCAAAACTACTGTTGTGCGATAAAGTAACTATAATTTTTTTTATATGTTTAGACACAAAGACAAAACTTAACCTTCCTTTTCAGATCCACACGCTGCTAGAATTCACCCACCTCCATAAACCCAACGAAGATCTCTTGTTAGAAATCAACGAGAATTATTTTATGACAATTTTTGAATCGGCCGACTCGTACGAGCCGATCAGAGTATTGCTAGACAGCCTCCCGTACAACCATTCCATAAAAACCTGTTACAACTTGCTAAAGTTTTTGAAAAATCTGGAGAGTCTGCAGTTCATAACCGACTACCTACTAAACAACGTTAACGACGACATGTTGAAAAATGTTCAAATCAGCCTGAAAATGTTGTCAGCATTCAGGCAATCCGAACAGGACCAGCTGCTCTGTCTCATATACGAACCGTTAAATATCGTCGAGATATTAATAATGAATGTGAAACTAGACAAACTGTCGGCTGTGCTCGATGTCGTAAAATCGGAAATACAACACGCCGAGTTCAGCGAAAACCAGTTATCCGCTGAAAAAATTGATGAGGTGTTGAGAGGTTACGCGGAGAAGAGCCTCGATTTTCGCGTGATAACTCAGCCTAATCCCAGGCTACTAAGAACGCCAGAGTGTAAGCTGATGCAATCCATCGATTCCTTGAGTTTGTGCGCGGAGAACAGAGGTTTCGTTATGCCCGAAGTAGTACCTTTGAAGGATGAGTGGGTGCCGAATAGCGAAGTGTTGGAATGCATGTGCTGTCACAAAATTACTTTTTCTATGTTCAACCGGCGCCACCACTGCAGGAGGTGCGGTAGAGTCGTTTGTTATAGTTGTTCGACGCACAGGATGCTCGTAAGTTCAATGAGATTAAAAACATACTTGGGTTTTTGCATGGTTTTTCTTGTAGGTACCAACTTATGAGGATATCTTGGTGCGTGTCTGTAGGGACTGTTACCGACAAACAATGGGCGACAGCACTACATCGGAATTTACCGACACCGCTTCGACGAAGTCGTTGATGTACGAATATTGGTTTCTTACCGATGATTCTGAACATAACAAAATCGTCCGTGAGGAATTTTCCTATGAACACGCACCCAGCGTGTCTCTCTGTCTCTCTATAATGAAGTACCATTCCAAAAGTGTTGAGTACCCAAAGTAAGTACCAAAAAGCATTGAATTAATTTTTTTTAGGTGCTTTTAACTGTAATTATTTTATTTTAAGGTTTCTATTGGATCAGTGCGACGTCATGCTGAAGCTGCTGCAACCCAGCCAGGAGCCGATCCAAGAAATCGACTATCTCCTCGTGATAAAGATGCTAAAGTACGATTTCCCCAAAAAAATTAAGCTACGATAAAACTTGCGTTGTCATTTTAGGTCTCTCGCTGTTGCCGCGAAAATGATTTCAGTGGAATGTTCCCTCCATCACGGCACCTCTTCAGCGGATCGGATACTATCCCAAGCTGAACTTTTGGGACTTTTAGCCGAGAGGGGATGTTTAAGCCTTTTGCCTGTGTCGAGCACCCAGAGGGGCACCTTCATAGACGCGTCCATTCTCAGGAAGCTGAGGGACAGGCTGTTGGAGAGGGAACAGTGGAATCTCGCTCTAGAAGTGTCTACTAAAGCCGGACTAGACATTACGGGTAAAATTTTGTCTGTCACATTTATATTTGCTGTCAAAATACCGCTAACGCCATCTACTGTTCCACTCTAGAATGTTTAATTCGCCAGATGAACGCTAGATGGTGCTTTTAAATGTCGTTTTTGTTTCTTAGGTGTCTTCACAGCTTGGGGTAAAAGTTGTTTGAAAGCGGGAAGCTTGACATTGGCCAGAGAGAAATTTCAAAGGTGCCTGGATAAAACCGGTCACTACGAGAGCGTATCGGAGACAAACTCACAAAGCGACTTCGATACTAGTCAAGACAGCTTCAGCAGAGGGAGGAATATATCCAAAGCTACGAGTTTGGGTGTCGTTTTCGAGGTGAAGCCGTCCAAAAATCCCCCTTTGCTCAACGAAATCGTGTACATCTTGGAATCGAAGACGATACCTATCAATCCGGATGTGATTAAGACGATGGAGAACCAATCGCTGACCGGTTCGATGTTGTCCTTGAACCAACAGTTGGGAATGGTCTCTCAAGCGGACACGGCTATTTGCATCATGAACAAGTTGAAGAACTTGAAGAATATCGCCGGGGGGAATTATTATCAGGTGGTGGAGAACGACGGACTGAAATTGCACTGTAACCCGCCTTCTATAGACAGCATTTTTTACGACGAGTGCGTTTACTACCTAAGCAAGTACGGCACCCACCAGAGTTTGTTGGAGTTCTACATCAAACACGGCGACATCTCTAAAGCGTTGAATTACATCGTCGACGGTCAGCTGAGCACCGATATTTTCATCGACATCTACATGAGGTGTTTAAAAGACGGGGTCATAAACGTCTTGCAGGAACACATGTCGAGGATAGACTCTACTCTAAACCTGTGGAAAGTGAGTCCTAATATTTGTTGTAACGTAAATACGCAGACTTTTTTTTTAGGACTATCTCCAGAGTATATGCAGGCACCTAGAGAAGCACAACATGCTGCACTCTTTGTACCAGCTGCAGCAGTTCATGGGTGACTTTATACGGGCAGCTATGACCTGCATCCGTTTCTATCAGGATAATGCGAAGTGTTTCACGGATCTCTCCGCCAACGTGAATTTCCTGCATAAAGCCGAGGGGCACTTGAAGGAGGTCTTGGTGCAGGATCAGTGGGTGGAAGTAGCCTCAGGTACGTCTCGCATGAATAAAAGTCGATACATTTTTGCAGCATAAAAACGTTTTAGTACGCAAGCAGAGCGTCGATTCGGGAGGCAGCTACGAAGAGAAGAGCCTGACGAACCCTTCCTTGGTGATGAAAATGAGCCCGAAGGACATTAACAAGAACATCGACACGATCTGGGGGCAAACGGAAGTGGTCGCGTTCCTGGCGGGATGCGAGGGTTCGGGCGTGAAACCCATGGAAGTTTTAAGGAAAATCTTGCAAATCGGAGGTAAGTAGATTATCGTATGCGTCGCTTGGATATTTAATTCGTTTGTTTTTAGAGTCGTCGCAGTTGGGCGAGAAAGACGAAAAGATCCCTACACTCTTTGGGTCGGCGCAGGAAAAAATGCAGTTGGCTGTGCTGGCAATAATTTGTGGGAGGAACGTTGAGGATGGATTTAACATCGCCCTCGGGTAATTATAGTCCGTTTTAAATCAGTAATCGATCGGTAATCGGTGATAGATTACCTTTCTTAATAATAATCTAATTAGACCAGAAAAATTAGCGAAAAAAAAGAGAAACTCGAAAAAATTCTTATCCACGATTTTATTGCAACATTGTCTAAAGGAACATAATACAAGACATCTCTCATCTGGTGAGTCAAAAAATTTTATTAGCTAACTTTTCTATTTAAACTAATAAGTGAGGAAAACAGTTTTTTCACTTTGAAGAGAAAACCGTAAATTTTAGCGAAAAGTGACTCTGAGACAGCTTGTAGGGAGTAAAATTATCTACAAAGTGAGACATGTTAAATTAAAATCGGTTAATAAACAAAAAAGTTATTGCAATAAAACAAGAAAAATGTCCATTTTTTAATTTGTTTGTAACTATCGCATTTATTGTTAAAATTTTATTAAACCTATGACAAGTTGATGGTTTTGTCATACTTTAGAAGTGTGCCAAAAGTGGGCGCTGTAGGTGCAATAGTTTTCGCACAATTCAATTTGTTTATAACGGAGGCTCCAAAAGTTATGAACTTTAAGCCTCTGTACAGGCGTTAATTTTCAACCAAACATGATTCTGAAAGCGTCATTGTAATCTTAAAGATGTAATTAAGCGACCTATTAAAAAATATCACCGTTTTTTTGACATTAACATTCTCAAATTGTGTATTAAAAAACCGTGCATTTTTCGCTTATAAACAATTTGAATAAAATTGTTGCTATTTATGCTACCTCACCGAAAATAGATGCAATGGATAGCTGGCAAAAAAATACAGTTTTAAAATTAAAAATAGTACCCTCTTCGACCAACAGGAGTCAAGATAACAATTTTTTTTTTAAATCGTAGTGCAATAATTGTTTATAAACATTAACACTTGAATTTTTTGCAAAATAAAGTTTACGACGTAAACTACGATTTCCCTTGAATTGCATTGAAAAATGTGGAAAATTAACGACTCACGAGCCCTTTAAAGAGAAGGTACTTGCTAAAATGTCCGGCGTGGTGGTGGGGGAAGCTCGTCCAAGCGAGTCGCGCGTGCGAGAAAAGTGAAATCCAAAGTTCAAATTGATGTGCGCTGTAAATTTTGCAATATCTCAGCTTCTATTCTTTTTTTTTAAACTGGGGTAGCTCGACGAAAAAATAACAATGGGCATTTTTACGAATTCGTAGAATAGCCCTGAACCCCAGAAAAAATGCATCTTTTATACTTAAATTTTTTTTATTTACAAAAATTATTGTTAAACGAAATATTAATTAAAATTTCAATTTCGGAGTTATTTTTCTGGGGTTCAGGGCTATTCTACGAATTCGTAAATATGTCCATTGTTATTTTTTCGTCGAGCTACCCCAGTATATATAAAAAAAGAAGTTTCTGCGATGAATAGAAGCCAAGATATTGCAAAATTTTACAGCGCACATCAATTTGAACTTTGGATTTCACTTTTCTCGCGCGTGCGACTCGCTTGGACGAGCTTCCTCCACCACCACGCCAGACATTTTACTTAGCAAGTACCTTCTTTTTAAAGGGCTCGTGAGTCGTTAATTTTTCACATTTCTCAATGCAATTCACGAGAAATCGTAGTTTACGTCGTAAACTTTATTTTGCAAAAAATTCAAGTCTTAATGTTTATAAACAATTGCGCTACGATTTTTTTGAAAAAAATTCTTATCTTGGCTCCTGTTGGTCCTAGAGGGTACTTTTTTTAAATTTGTATTTTTTTGCCAGATCTACTTTCGGTGAGATAGCATAAATAGCAACAATGTTATTGAAATTGTTTATAAGCGAAAAACACACGGTTTTTTAATGCACAATTTGAGAATGTTAAAAAACGGTGATATTTTTTAATAGGTCGCTTAATTACGTCTTTAAGATTACAATGACGCTTTCAGAATCATGTTTGGTTGAAAATTAACGCCTGTACAGATGCTTAAAGTTCATAACTTTTGGAGCCTCCGTTATAAACAAATTGAATTGTGCAGAAACTATTGCACCTACAGTGACCACTTTTGGCACAAAACCCTCAACTTGTCTTAGGTTTTATAAAATTTTAACAATAAATGCGATAGTTACAAACAAATTAAAAAATGGGCACTTTTCTGGTTTTTCTGCAATAACTTTTTTGTTTATTAACCGATTTTAATTTAACAAGTCTCATTTTGTAGATAATTTTATTCCCTACAAGCTGTCTGTGAGTAACTTTTTGCTAAAATTAATGGTTTTCCCTGCAAAGTGAAAAAACTGTTTTCCTCACTTATTTGTTTAAATGGAAAAGTTAGCAATTAAAATTTTTTGACTCACGAGATGAGAGATGTCTTGTATTATGTTCCTTTAGACAATTTTACAATAATCTCTCGGATAGGAATTTTTTCGAGTAAAAATTTTATTTGCTCTGCCTAAATATCTACGTATTAATTTAATCATGGGTGCAATTTTATTTATAATTTGTACTAAGAAAGAGCACCAAAATTTTCAATCAGTTGAGGTATCATTGTGTTAGTGGCAAGGGTAAGGTGGAATAAATTGTGTATGTCAAAGGGCATACAAATTCATTAATTGACCCAATAATTTAAAACAAATTACATTGGCCCTCGTTTCGATGCTCCGCTAACACAATTTTTTTGTCGAATTGTATTTCCAGCATCATCCAAGACTTTAAATTAAAACCGGCGAAAGTGTACTGCGAAGCGGGTAAACAGTTAGCGAAATCGGAGCGATACAGCGGCATCGGTCAGCTGGTGAGCTGCATAAAACACAGCGGTACTAGCGACGTCGCCGTCACTGACATGTGCGACGAAATGTTAACCCTGGCCGTTGCGACTTTCACCAAGGCGAACGTTTCCGGGACCAAAGTAGAGGATTTGATTAAGCTCATCTCCGACCGTGGGACGAAGGTTGGTATAGAAGAGCGTAAGTGAAACGCAAATTTGGTCGATTGGTGTTTATTTCTTTGTAGATATCTGCGTACATAGAAGCGAAACAGCTGAAAACTGCGTATTTCCTCGCTGTGAAATACAAACGTATGTCGGATATAAGGAGGATTTTGAGGGAAGCGGAACTGTTGAACCAACCTGGTATCAAAGCTCTCTGCCAGAAGGTTTTGCTATCCCATTCGCACGCTCCGACACATTAAAACAAAAGATTGAACCGATATATTTGTATTTTTTCGACGTAGCCCAAAGATTTTCTTAAATATTAGTTATACTTGTTTTGTAAGGAAAAAAATGTGCTGTGGACCAGGCTGTGAAGTAATGCTGACTGTTTGTAAAAGGAAATTTTAATTATGTGCAAAACGTTATGTTTTTGTTATATTTATTGATGTTATCGAAAAATATGTGTCGTTTTTCAGATTTAGTAGTCAGTATTTTGAAAGCGAAGCGGAACGTTTTTTTATAGCCCGACTGAAGTGTATCGTATACACCCCTAGACAAAAGTAATGCACCTTGCGCCCTGACCTCAGTGTTGTCTCGTAAACGGCCATTCTGATTTTGACGATCTTTTTTTGAGTTACAAGTTTATTTCTCGGTAACAGCACAGATTTAAAAAAATGTTTATTGAAATTAACTAATTTGTTTGCATGTACAAGAATTTTTCTCTCTCGGAAATTGAAACACCCTGTAGGGTGCGCCAGCGAAAATCATTAATGATTACTTGATTCAAGCTGCAGTTCCATCTTTTCCTGATATTACTTTTTGTTTTCAAGCGTTATCTCTGTTATTAATTGAGATACATAGTAGAATTAATCGGCGCCAGTTTATTCTAAAAATTTAAAAACAACACGAGATGGTAATAAAAATTTAAAAAAACGCAGTGATAATATGGGTAGATAAGATAAAAACCGTCAATCCTTACACGCTTCCTTTGACTTAACTGAAATTATGACGAGAAATATTGAACGACATTAAGAGGGTTGTATAGGAAATAGGCAACCAGCAATACATTTTATGGATTTTATTACACAGTTTGTCTAAATATGAATTAATGAACAAATTACAGACTTTCCTCCATTCTAATGCAGATTTTCTATAAAATGGACTTAGTTTGAAACTCAAATAACTTTTTTGAGGAAAGAAATTTGAAATTTACGATGGCGCTTGTTCAAAAGCAGCAAATTACAAATTTCTTTCCACAAAAAAGTTATTCGAGTTTCTAACTGTCTATTTTATAGAAAATCTGCGTTAGAATGGGGGAAAGTCTGTTATTTATGCATTAATTCATATTTAGGCAAACTGTGTAATAAAATCTATAAAAATGTATTGTTGGTTGCCTATTTGCTATAGAGCCCTCTTAATCAAGAAAAGTTTTGTGTTTCTTCTCTTTGTTTTCTTATTTATTTCTATTATTACAGTTGTAAGTTTTTTAATTTTTACTATAAACTGGTGCGCTCTAATTTAACCGTGTATCTCAATTAAAAACGGAGACGACGGTGTCAGTGACGTCACGTGAAAATTAAAACGGTCATATTTTGATAACAAAGTGCAGGACCCATACCATTTTTTTAGCGGATCAGTTGTAGGCTCAAAGAGTGACCACAAAAAAAAAAGCCATTTTTCTGCCTGTTTTTGAGACTTTGACAGAGGCGACAGGGAAAATCCTAAAAATATTCTAAAAATATCCAAATACACGTCATTCGAAGAATGAAAATGAGCATCACTTTCAGTTTTTCAAAAATCACCCTTATTTAGGGGTTGAAAAGACAAAAAAGTGAACAAATTAAGAATCATCAACTATTCTTCTATGTTCTTATCAAAATAATATGAACGAATTTCGTATTTGATACGGTCTTGTCCGGATTGAAAATCAACCCATAATATCAATAAAGGGGTGAAATCGTCCCTTAAACACCTGAAAATGCAAAAAATATATTAAAAGTTACAATTTTTTTCCTTTTCTTCCTTTATACGTATGTGGTTGAACTTAAGGGTGGTTTTACCCTCATTTAGGATTATCTTCCTTCGGATCTAGTGATTGTGGATTATTAACGGTTCAATTATCACGTATAAAAGAAAAAGAAAAAAAATTGTAACTTTATATATATTTTGCATTTTTAGGCATTTAGGGGATGATTTCACCCCTTTATGACATGACCGTATCAAATACGAAATTAGATATTTTCAAATTCATATTATTTTGATAACATAGAAATATTTAGGGTTTTACAACTGTTGATGATTCTTAATTTGTTCACTTTCATTTTTCATGATGAGTTTTCGGATATTTTTAGAATATTTTTAGGGTATTTCCTGTCGTCTCTATCAAAGTCTCAAAAACAGGCGGATTTTGCGGTCACTCTTTTTGTGTCGTAAAAATTTTGAAAAGAATTTGGAAAATTAAAAATTAAAATAGAGGTAGCCGACCCTGGGTTCTCGAAGAGTTGTAAATTATTAATTGACGCAGTCAAGCGATTTTTTATTATTTCAAAATTCTAAATTTCTCAAAACCTCAGGTTCAGAAACCCCTATTTTATTTTGCTAATTTCGTTCAAAATTTTTTTGTCATAGAAGTCCTCTGCGTGCGCCTAGAAATCATCTCCTTAAATAAAAAAGGATCCCACGCTTCATTACCAAAATATGACCACATGGCTTGAAAATGCAAATTTTTCGAAAAAATGTTAGTTTAGACTCGTTTTTTTGCAGTAAAAATTTCTATTTTCTCATCGTTACTGATAAATACACGTGTAATTCAAAAAAAGGGCTCATCAAAATCAAAAAAGTCCTTTGCGTATAGGAGTGTATTCTTTAATTTTTAATTTACGTTAGAAGTGTCGCCAGATCGTAACCGGAAAAATAGAAATGCAATAGAAAGTAAACTAAATTCGTTATAGTACAAAAAAAAATTGTTAGGAATACGTCAAAAATTAAATTTTAATTCAACCTTTCAATATTCCTCATAAAATAATCGCTAATAATGCTGCACGATCTTGAGAAACCCAACTCTTTTTTATATTAAATATATGCATCGTTATATCTCCCCCACTTTTATATTTATATATTTTATTGGAATAAAGAATTTAAACCCAGCGTTTCCTTAATTTTTTTAACTTATCCCCCCCCCCTTCTAGGCAAGCACATCCCCCAAAAAGATGCTTCTAAATGAAGGTAACCGACTAAATTTTTAAAACAAAAACCTACAGCATGAAACTGTTTTTATTTTATAAAGTGTATTTTTCTGATAATTTATATATTTTTTTATAATTTTCGGCGTGGTCAGATTGTTATAAACAAAATAATTGTAGAAAAAAATTACTTGCCAAATGGCATTAAACTGTAAAATGAACCAAAATAAACACTTTTTGTTCTTTGACAAAAATTCGAAAAACGCTTCGTTTCCGAGATATTTACAATTTATTGGAAAAAAGTGACGAAATCGACAAACTTTCTGAATTTTTTTCTCAAAAACTACTGACCAGAATTTAATTCTAAAAAAAGCATAATAATCGGCAGATCTTCTGCTTTAAGATATATTTTTTTGCTATAGGTCAATTATTTTATTGAAGGTCTAAAGCGAGTAAAAAAGAAAAATTTTTTAAAGAAAATCAAAATGGCAAATAAGTGAATGGAAGCAGGCTACAAATAGTGAAATTGTAACTCTAGATCCATTGACACATGGATGGAAAATCGAAAATGGTTGTTTGGATTAATTCGAAGGAGAAACTGCGTTAGATATGCTTCAAAAACGTTTTTGTTCATGTATAGTGGAAAATGTTCTATACGAAAAATTGTAACTGTTTTTCATCGAACCTGGAATGCTGTGTAGTCTGCGTGTGCTCAGATGAATGTCAGAATGTTCCATCCGAAATTGATGATGAAACGCTTATTTCAATTCAAAAACTTGTCGAAAATAACGAAAAACTTATTATTTAAAAATTAAATAAAAAAGAAATTAATATACTTTTATTGCTCTTAATATTTTTGTAAAATGAAAATAAAATAATTATCCTATACCTACAATAAATTATCCAATAACTTTTTTATTTTTCGAGACCGCTAGGTCATTATTATTTTACGATTTAAATAGTTTATTTAGTTTAGTTTTGGTATAATTTTCAAGTAAATTTTAGCCATTTATGAAACCAAAAATCGAATATTTAAATTTTACTAATTACTTGCAAAAACCTTACTCCGGCTACAAAACCAAACAAAATGATCTTTTGAACATTTGTATTGTTAACATAATATATCGATTAAATAAATCATAATAATGTTTATGGTAAATATAATCTAATCCAAGATACTGTAAAAAGAAAATTTAAATTTGAAGTGTTATAATTTTCTTTGACTTTTTTTTACTCACTTTAGACCTTCAATAAAATGATAGACCCATACCAAAAAAATATATCATAAAGTAGAAAATCTGCCGATTATTATGCTTTTTTTAGAATTAAAATCTGAATAGTTTTTGAGGAAAAAATTCCGAAAATTTGTCGATTTCATCACTTTTTTCACATTAAATTGTAAACATCTCGGAAACGAAGCATTTTTCGAATTTTTGTCAAAGAACAGTGTTTATTTTGGCCCATTTTACAATAAAAGCCATTCGGCGAGTAATTTTTTTTTTACAACTTTTTTGTTTATAACAATTGACTGACCACGCCGAAAAATATAAAAAATATATGTAAATTATCAGAAAAATACACTACAAAATAAAAAAAATTTCATGCTGAAGGTTTTTGTTTTAAAAATTTTGTCGGTTCATGCCTTTTCTTTAGGGGTGAACTGCTCGCCTATTCCTCTCCCAATCGTCTTATAATTAAAGCACATTCATCACTTGGCAAAGGATCATTTTTGCACGTTCACAACAGATTTCGAAATGCTTGTTATTTTTAGACCCCATTCAACGTTCAGCACAAAGGAAATGTGTAAAAAAAGCACACAAAAGTTTTATTTCAGTGTTTCTATTTTTCTTTTGATGTAACACAAATTAAACTACTTTTATATAAATGCCTAGCAAATTATAAATATATCATTAACGGGAACTAAAAATCTGAAAATATCACATCAAATACTATTCGATTCATAGACGGTTAAACATTCCATTTCTTGCAAAAAATCCCTCTACTTCATACCCAAAATATTCATATATAACACTTTAAATATAAATAATAATAATAATAATATATGCCTTACAAATTATTACCTACACACCCCCCTATGTACAATATTTTTTTACTTATTTTATAAAATCGTTAAAAAACTGAGTAATAATTTATACGGCAATAAAATATTTAAACGGAAAATATATTTGTTAAATAATCAGTATGAGAACAAAGATGTTTTAGTCTTCTAACACCACTTCGCCGTTTACTTCGTGATTTACATGAGAAACTCCATTTTCTAACTCACCGTTCAGTTTCTCTGCAAACGAAGCATCTATTTCGGAGATTCTCGTAAGAAAACTTTCCTTCTGCTCAATTGTCCACTGCATAAACCATTCTTTAAACAATTTAACCTTAAAATAAAAATATAAATATTAAGGACTGTCTTTAAATACTTCACAGACTAATGTCACAATAAAAAGATACTCACTCGGCATTCAAATAAGGACATGGGCTTATCTCTGCAATCAACATTGGAAATACTGTTAGTTATTCCATTAACATAAGCCTTATTAGCATACTTTTCAGCCATTATGGGCAGAAAATCGGATCTCTGCAGTTCACTCCATTCCTGGAACCACTGCACTAAATACCTTATTTGGGCTTCATTACTTAACATAGTCATTTTTGTTGAATTTTTAAACAGTCTTCTTTCTCAGTCACTGCAAATAATTTAATGTCATCTGTATGTGGGAACAGGATATGTTAGCAAAAGAGAAAGGTTAAACTGTTAAATACGTCTAACCGTACCGTGACTCTGCAAAGTTATTGTTTATACTTATACTGGCTGAAAATATTTACCTGTTTTTCCAGTATCTAACACAACACAATATAACTTACATTGTTCCCTAATTTAGAGAGGTTCCTAAGAAGCAGATCCCGAACCTTACAACATTCTTCTCGAGTAGAAAACGGTGATCTTTTAATTATTGATAGAAACTTGTTCTGTGTGTTGAACCGTAATGACCTCGCGGTTTTTAAACTACGGCCTTGACCCGAGTGGTCTATTTTCTCTCCATTTCATTTCGATCGATAAAGTAGATACTCATACTCAATCGTAGACTGTATTACGTTTTGTAGCGTAGACTATAAACTCAATGGTTCGGTCCTATACAATACTGCTAACTCGTAGAAAATTTCTATTTTCTTGGGAAATTTTATCTCATAAAAGGAAAATGGAATTTCCTCTTAGCTGTAGGAATTTTGTTTTGTCAGATCAGAGTTGGCATCACTTCTAGTCGAAGAAGAAGAGGAGTCTTTTTATAAGTGTGTCAACATTACTTTTTACAGTCGTTTTTAAAATATATCCAATAAATAAATACAAAAGTTCGACAGAAACTAGACAACATTTTTGCATAGGAAAAGGTATTGTCCCAGTACAAACCATTTTCTAATATTGAAAAAGTCGTATGTTTGAGGTTACATTGATGACATAACACTAAAAATACATTACAGATAAAATCCATCAAAATGTCATTGTCCCCTTGGTTAAAGTCACCCTTCACGGACTTGACCGGTGCAATTGTAAGTCACCAATGGTATGGCGCGTGTGCCGACATGGAGATGAAGGCTTTAGACTGCTTGGAGGCGTACGGACTTGACAGAGGGTTAAAAAAGTGCGATCCCCTGATTAGAGACTTCACCGAGTGCGCCTTGAAGATAAAACAATTTAAAAGGATGAATGCCATAAGATGGGAGAGGAACCGGCAATATTGGGCAGGCGAAAGGAGTAAAGAAGACCGCTGGTCGAAATCGCCGACACACGACAGTTATTAGCAGAATTTTGTATAAGGTTTGTAGTGGTTTATTATCTAGCTAATATGTTAATTGAAATAAATTAAAATAAAGATGGATCTATATTACTGACTGTCATATTATGACTCCTTTAACTTATCCTTAAAAGTTTAATTCGTACTTCGTTACCTAAAGGGTGGTGGGGTTGTGAGAAAAAGAACTTGAATAGACATGGATAATTTAAAATTTATTTTGTACAAAATTTTGAATACAGTTATTAAAAAGACACACCAATATTAGTGCATTTTGTGTTTAGCGTGCATTATGTTTTCATGCATATTATAATACTGTCGATTATAACAATAAAAAATGGACAAGGTACAAAATCTTGATATCCCTAAAATTTTAAAATTCAATATTTTTAAACCCATTATTTTTAATTAGAAGGCAATACGTTTTATGGAGTAATAGTAATGCAGTAGGGATGGGAGGAAACATCAGGGTCACCGCCTCTGTAGGAATGGAAATTTTATTTGAGAATAGATTAAAAGAAATTCCAGTTGCACAACGACCAATACAAAATATTTAAAAAAGAAAAAAACTGAGATAAATATGCATTCCGAGATGGCGACCCTAAAAACACCTTATTCGTAAAAAGTTTAAATTCATAATTATATATTTAGTTCTTAATTGTATCTTATATATGTAGGTACATGGTCCATCTTTAATATAGCAAATAGCTTTGATTAGTTGTTTAATTTACTAAAGTTATCTGAAATTTAATAATACTGATCTCGTTTACAAAAGATACACAGTTCTAAATAAAGAAATGTATCACTGTACAATTTATTCTCACACATTTCCAAAGATAGATCAGTAAACGAAATAGGTAACGGAAATAAAACGTTTTGCAATAGACTTGAATGAATTATCAACAACTATATAGATTAAATTTATACGTAAATCCTATGTACTCGTAGTATAACAATTCTCATAAGATATCAAGCCATATTATTCCCTAAAGTATGAATCTTTTCGAAAAATTACAATCACATATATCACGGCCAATAAAGACATTCATCCATAACCTTAAATGTGTCTGGGATTAATTTTATGAACACATTAAATTGACAATATATTTTAACTAGTATAAAGTGTGAACTTCTTTGATAACATTTTATATATATCGACAGCACATTGAGAAAAACGTCCATTCCGAAATGTGTTACAAAAAAGCTGATAATGGAGAATAAATTTTTTCTCAGTAAACTGGTGATATGCATCTTTAAGCCATATTTATTCAATTATATTTCCCGTAACAATAAAGTCATCGTAGTTTAGTAATATACATCTGACAGGGAAGGCAAAAATGGTTACTGGAACCACATAAAAATGTTGCTCGAGTAACAGTTCAAATATCGACCCACAACAAAAATAAGACGGAAAACTTACAAGTGCCTTATTTCGATCGATTTTTGAACTGTCGCAATTCATATAAATGGGTACTCACGTCACGCAATAAGCTAAACCTCATATTATTGAATATAAAATAAATATGTACAAAAAGGCGAAGAGTAATATCCAAATTTAGTTTATCGCGCGACCATATAAATATATATTTCATAAAATCTTCAATTTTTAAATCCTATTTATAACAGAACCCATCCCTACATACGTAAAAGCTTATTATTAATTTGTGCTTGGTATAAACAGTTTGTTTATTCATTTGGCATAACTATATTTATATTTTGTCAAGAGAAATCGTGGAATTTCGTCGTTTCGAGGGCAGAACACAATTTTTTTTATAATACTCGTATTTCTGATAGAAGTCTACCCTCATTGCATATCCTTAATTTCGTACCGAATATTTTTGGGGGTGGGCGAGGGCAGTACTATATTTTTAAATTCAAAATTGTAACCAATAAAAGGTATAGAAGGTAACAAAAAGAAAGTGAAGACCAAACCTAATTTGTATTTATACAAAGAGTTTTAGGAAAAATCCAGAAATTTCAAGGAATAACACAATTTTTTCCTATGGATCCCATGCTATTGTCTTTTGTTTTTGAGGTATTGTCAAAGATGACACTTTTACACTAAAAGACCACGCACTAATTAGATTATAAAGTGGTTTCAATCAAAATTGAAATTTGCTGTGGATCATTTTTGACCTCAGGAATAAAGTTCCGATCACAAAAATCGCAGCAGATGATTTGTTTATCATGTAAAAATCAACTTTTAATGACAGTTTCCGAAAAATTTAATTTTACGACATTAACAAGAACCTCAAAAAGATGTCATGAAATGTCACGGAGAATGATCGTAACATCTAGCACATGGTCAAAAAATACAAAAACTAACGTACTTAGCACCATCAAAATCTTATCTGGGCCAAATTTAAATGCATTTCATTGATTTTTGAAAAAGAAATGGCTAAAAGAGTGACCGCAAAAAAACTGTGACTCGTCCGTTTTTTCACAATTTGCAGAGAATTTAAAAAATACATAAAAATATGTTTTTGGTCACAAATTACTTGTCGTAAAATACTGAAATGAGCACAGCTTTTAGTATTTTGAAAATTTTAAAAATCACCCCTACTTAGGAGTTGAAAGATTGCCAAAAATTAAGAATTTGAATATTACCAATTGATATAAAAACTATTAGCATGTGAATTATCTTAATATATTTTTTTTTGGAATTTTTACAATTATTTGTGATATTCTCTATTTTTGGGAATGATTCCACCCTCTAAGCGTGCTTAAGGTTGGATTTTGTAATTCAACATGCTTATTTCGGTCATGAGAATACATCTTTCTCCCTATAGAAAAATCCACATGCTAATAGTTTTTATATTTATTGGTAATATTCAATTCTTCATTTTGGGCATCTTTTCAACCCCTAAATAGGGGTAATTTCTGAAAATTTTCAAAACACTAAAAGCTATGCTCATCTTAATTTTTTACGACGAGTAATTTGAGACCAAAAACATATTTTTATCTATTTTCTTTAGTTCTCTGCGAATTGTGAAAAAACGGGCGATTTTTGCGATCACCCTTTTATTTAAAATCATCAATGCCTCTCATATCAAAAACAAAATACAATAAACCTATGGAAGGAATCTTATTTTTTAATGTTTTACGAGCTACTGAATTTATGTTAACTTTTTCTGAAACGCCCTGTAGAATCAACAAAGTACTTTAATACTTAATACTATAATTTGTTTACAAAGAAATGGTAGAAATATAGTACTTCCCTCTAAAAAAAGATATTTGCAAATTTTTCTACGTATACAGGATGGGTCAGATTTAACGTCACACCCAAGAGTAAGCAATGGTTGCGTTTTTGAAAGTAAATGATTTTTTTTACATAGAGGTTTTTCTTTGAGAATGTGTTATTTAATTTAATAAAAGGTCTATATTTTATTTTATCTCCGTACAATTTTTTTTATTAAATCAATTAAAGCAATACTTTTGTTCTTGACAAAAAAAATGGTAATTTTGAGGCCACAGTCAGTAAATTACGAAAAAAATTGTTTTTAAAATAAAAACACCGACACTAACAAAGCTGGCAAACAGTACCTGTAGCGAGACTAGCGCGTGTGACGTCACTTTGCGGAATGTACCACCAGATTAGCAAGTAAATAAAACAGTTGCAATATAAATCCATTATTTTGCCAATTTTAAATTTACCACCTTTACATTAAGAAAAGAGCCATCTCTTAACAGTTTCCTGAACTTAAATTAGCTCCGCTCATTAGCAGAACAGTAGATGGCTCTCGCAGTCGCATTTTGGCGTTGCCAATGAATTGTAGAGAAAGACAACCTCTTATTGTTTTCTCTCTTGTTAGCCTGAAAAACCTAACCTGACACCTAATTCTCGCGCGCTAGCCGGTTCCGCATCATGACGTCACACCAATCAGAGCGTTTCGCGCTAATATTTAATTTATTTTGGATATTTCCCTATCTTTTATTTTTGTAAAACTTTGCAGATGTGATTGTAAGTCAATTTTTTAACCATTTCATGACGTTTAAGCATTTTTTTCTGTGAACATCCCTAAATGTACCAAATTTAGTTTAGTATACGAAAAAATCTATTAATTCTCAACATGCTCTTGGGTCCGACGTCAAGTGTGACCCGACCTGTATACATGCGGATATCCTAAATACACAATTTTGTAAACAGTAACAGTGTCACACGAATTACAATAATTTTGACAATTACCTGATATGACGTATGTCGGTTTTGATTTCCTCCGGCAAGTGTTTCTTGCATAGTGAAGTATGACAAGCCTAAATGTAAGGTTGTTCTACCTAGATTGTTCTCGGGTGGGGTTATGTATATCCTAAGTGTTAATTTTTGATCTCTCTTCAAATTCGATTAATAATATCACAAAAAATTATGAATGGAATGCCTAACGGAATAAATAATTATACAGTGTATTCGATCACGAGCCCTTCTTATTCCGTTCCTTCCAATTTTTTTTTGTAAAAAACCTACGCAATATAGTAAGTAATAAGGCATGTAGAAGTCAGCATAAACGGGTAAAGTTTCAATAAAGTCGTTTAGAATTTGGGGATGATGATAGTTGGGAGTATAGCACGCAGGTTCGCCAATAAGACTGTGTTATATCTATAGACAAGTTTTAGTTAGAATTCCAGAGATTTGTACAAAGTTGTAACACTCAGTAGTAATATTACACCTTCCGAATACTCCCAATAAGTATTTACTAATTTGTGATAAAAAAATATTCAAGCCGTTAACGCAAAGGGAACGGTATGTATTAGTCATAACTTTGATCTGAAAATTTCCACTTGAACGACTTATACGACGACGACATAAGAAAGTGGTAGCTATGACTGCACCAGGATGTGCCAGCGGCAGATCTGCTCCTGTTGGAACTCCTTCATGTCCATCCAGTGGGCCAGTTCTTCCGCTCCGCTCGAGTTCAGGCCTAGACTGAACCAGCCCACCATCTCCTTCTTTTTCGTCACCCCTTTCCTGTTGTACACGGCCACCATCAGTGTTACGTCCGCTAGTTGAAACAGCGCTACCTATAAAAAAAAGCGTTGGTGGAGACCGTTCAGAAGAATTATAGGTTTTCGCGAATGTACCTGAAAGATGAAGGTTTCTTTAAATAACGGGTTGGGTTGACCCCTTCTGACGGTAGTCTTGCTGTGTGCCAGTTCTTGCCCCGTACTGCTGACTAAATTTAGTTTTACGTATGTGTCTGGGGCTCTTGTCAGAGCTAAGTTCCTGAAAATTAAAATTGCTAGTAAAAAATATTTTTTACGCCCAATTATAGCAAAAGTTAAAGGGTATTAGTCCAGTATACAACGGTAAAAATAGGGTATTACCTGAATTCTTGACACACGCACCGATTTTCATGAAAATTGGTGAGTAAGCTCATTTCACCCTCCTTTACAAAAGTTACATATCCATAATGTGTGCTTATTGTTTTTAGGGGGTGAAAACTACCCCTTCTTGCAAAAAACTTAAAAACCATAGATTTAAGTGTTACGTCGATAGAATAAGCATTCTTTTATGTTTTGAATAATAATTTTTGATTTGTAGCAACATTTCAACCCTTAAAATCCACCATTTGAGGAAAATAAACAAAAATTAGTTTTCGCGGCTCTGAAATGTTTTGACGGAGCAATAATGAAGAATTGAATATTTTTTACTGTTTATGAAATAATACAAGATTTATTGCAACGTTTCAACCCTTATAAACCACCCTTATTGCAGAAAACAAAGCAAAACATTATTTTCACATCTTCATAGCATTTATAGTGAATGAGACTCATCACTGTTTATAATATTACTGATGATTCATTGCAACGTTTCAACCTTTACCTGCTTCAAAACACTCAACGATACATTACTGAATTCAACGAGATTACTTAAAACTCGAAACTTTAATTATGTAATTTGTGTGTATTACGCCTCGGAAACTTATCGGAAATTAAGCCATTTACACGATCCGACAATTTTCACTGAATAATACAATTCGTTTTTTCACGATAACTTTTTTAATTTATAATATTTTTCATCGGTCCAAAAAGCAATTTGCAGGGAATTGCAAGAGCTACAAATAGTTGAAGGGTCTTGAACTCTTTGTTTTCGAGATTTTTAGGTTTTAAGGACTCAAATAAGGTGATCCTTACACGCAAATGCAAACTAAAAAACGTAATATCTCAGTTAATTTTTGCTCTTCAGAAAAATTGAAAGAGAGCAAAAATATTATAAAAAAGACCTTTAATTTTGAACTCTTGCATTTTTCACGTATCTTGTTTAGTTTTTGAGTTATTTCGAAAAAAAGGATATTTTTTAAAAAATTTAAACATTTTTTTTTATTATTAGTACCTAAATAGTCAACTGTACATGGATTGCTCTTAGTTTCTATTTTTATGGTTCAGGCATAGATTTTATTGTTGATTTTTTCTCTGAAAAAATGAGATGACCATTTTTTTTTCATCATAACTCCGCGACTTTTTGAGCTACGAAATTTTTTCAAAAAGCATTTTAAAGGTCTTTCCAAGCACTTTAAAAAAGGTTATATTTATTTTCTTCGAAAAATTTGTTCTTTCGCCATTATTTTACTTTTTGAAAAATAAACAATCACCTTTAGAGAGTGATAACTCGGTTATTATTACATCTACGGTAATCAACAAAAAATGAATCGATACCTTATTTCAAAAGCTTTATTTTTGCCGTATATGAGTTTTTCGATAAAACGCAATGTTTTCGAGTTATTTTTTAAAAATGGTTGAAAAACATGCACTTTTTAGATGAAAAATCAACATTTTCAATGGCAAATAACTCGGAAAATATTAATTTTTGGAAAAAACGTTATAGAGCATCTTTTGCTTATAATTCATCCCTATATTGATTTTTGCTACTAAAATGGATGCCTTCATTGCCACCCCCGAGTAGGGGTGGCATACACCCACAGGGTGAAAGCACACATCGGCACTATGTAACTTTTGTTTCTTGAGCAATTTTCTACTTACTGTTAAAATTTCATGTCCATGGGTGCATGTGCCAAGAATTCGGACCTAAAAACCGTCATATTCTGAGCTATATAAGATATGCAATCAGTTGAAGTATCATTGTGCTAGTAGTAAGAGTTCTGTAAAGCAGAACAGACTGGGCGAGTTAAAATGGCAAGTCTGCTGAATACTACTTCTACTAAATGTATAAAAAAGCGTGCCCTATCTCAAAATGAGAAAATAATTGCGTTAAACAAACCGATATTTATTAGTGGGCAGTGATTCCTGCCACTATTATTTTTTTAAATACTCCCTCTGCCATACTATAATTTCATTGTTTTCTATTACCATCCTTATTTGTTTTCGTTTTACGTAACGAAAATTAATTTCATGCAAAGTAAGCAGTAGAACTTTTAGGGACAATCTAGGCAAATCTTCTGCATCTGCGGCAATGTCAATTTGAATTTTATTAAGTATTGAAAGTTCACAAGTAACACAGGATTTGATTGAGCATTGTTTTCATTGCGAAGTCCAACGCTATACGACGGATGAGCTAGTAAAGACTGAAAATTCATTACGGTACAGAGAGTGTGTAGCTGAGACTGTGCGAAAATTACGTGGAATTATTAAAAAGATTAGTTGTCCAACTTGGAACGAACAGGGTCGGTTGAAGATAACAAAAACAACAAGCCAGCCTCGTACTGGCCGTTCAGCCAAAAATATTGCCACAGTGAGTGGTAGTGTAGTGGAAATTCCCGTAATTACTGCACTACAAATGAACATTTCAAAAATCACAACACAGCTAACCCAGGAATTGATATCAGATATTTAATACGCCGGACATTCGTTGATCGGATGTTGGAGAATATTTCACATTAAAGATAATTTAGAAAAAAAATATGTTATTGATGAAATGGCAGAAAATACTCAAAAGGGTTATACCTTAGCTGCCACTTCTGCCAAATTCTTTAGATAAATTGTATAGACCACGTGTTAAAAGTGTCTTACAATCTCAAGCGAGTAAATTTTGACCCCTTAGTAGGTACGTTTGTTTACACGAAACTTTTTTTTAACTTCTAAGGCGTCCGTACAATATATGAAACAGTATATGCAGAGTAAGCATGTTCAGTGTTAAGGCATTCGCATGTATGAACTTTTCGAAACAGACTGTAATAAAAGATGAACATGTCGTATTACCTAAAATGAGATCCTTTGACTACTTCCACGTTGAGCCTGCCGGTCGTCGCGTTATAGCACAGCCCAAGTAAAAGTTCAGGTACGCCGCCATGCTGCATGGAATGTGTGGAACCGGTGCTGTCAGACCTTGCTAAGCTCATCAGATCGCCCGTACATCCGCTTAGCTGCAATTTACAAAACTATACTTACCGTTTCGAATACGTTAATATCTTGGAAATACACGGGTTGATTCTTTGGTAAAATATCGTTATTTATATTCAGAGACTTACAGCGGTGTTCGCCCTTGGCTCGAGGTTCAACCAGAAATTATTTTCTAGTTCCAGGTTGATGTTAGCAAAACTGACGACCGCCTCCCCTATAAGCCTTTCCCTGCGCATTCTTTCACAGCCATATAGTCGAAGTCTTATACCCATGGAATTTACATCCTCTGAAAAAAAAAAAAATTGTATGCGCTGAAATAAATCGTTTATGACTTTGACGGTCGATAATACATAGTTTCCATGTAAATAAAATTAAAACGTACCTGGATTAACCCTGTGCAAGAGGAAACTCTCCATGTACTGCGGATTTTCCCCAGAGCGGATTTTGGTTTTGTGTTTTTGTTTTTTGCTCGGAAGCAATATCAACCTCACCTAAAACATGAAATTTTCAGGTAGAATAAAGAATTACAGCATAAATTGTGAAGACACATTTTTTTAATTTCATTTTATAAAAGTCTTAACAAAATATAATGATGTATTATTTCTCAACTGGACAACTTATGCTCTCCAGAATTGCTTTAGCTCTTAGATTCTAACAAGGGCTTAAAATTTGTTTTTTTCATGCAGTTTCTGAAACCGAGTAGCGTTTTTCGATTCACAACATGACATTTTGTAATGCAAGGACATATGCGGCAGCCATATTGGATCCGCCATTTTGCATTTTGCAATTTTGACATCAGAATTGTGATTGCCGACCTTAAAAATTCCCAAGTGACAAATTTCCAGCCAGTTGAACCCTATGGTTGAACCACTGTTTCCCATTTTGTATTGCAAGGACCTATACGGCCGCCATATTGGATCCGCCATTTTGAATTCTGCAATTTTGACATCAGAATTGTGATTGCCGACCTTAAAAATTCCCAAGTGACAAATTTCCAGCCAGTTGAACGACTGTTGCCCATTTTGTATTGCAAGGAAATATACGGCCGCCATATTGGATCCGCCATTTTGAATTCTGCAATTTTGACATCAGATTTGTGATTGCCGACCCTAAAAATTCCTGAGTATCAATTTTCCAGTCAGTTGAACCCTATGGTTGAACCACTGTTTCCCATTTTGTATTGCAAGGACCTATACGGCCGCCATATTGGATCTGCCATCTTGAATTTTGCAATTTTTACGTATGCTTCATATTTTATGACATTCTGTGTGAACACTTTTAACTTGATGAGCTCAGTAGTAACAATTATTTTAAAAATCGTCAAAAAATCGCCATATGAAATTTTTGGCAGCCATTTGAGTATGTTGAGTCGCCACAATGGCGATAAATCGCCACATCTGGCAACTCTGGCTACTAGCTGTTTCATTAGGTATTGCTGGTATAGTCTTTCCGATCTCAATTGAAAAACCAAGAGGTTGGCTGTATGTACCAGGTTCGGTCGCTGATGCAGCAACTCGGCATTGAAATATTTGAAAAACTTGTTCCCACATTTATTTAACCATACCCATCGAACTAAACGTGCAGGTGGTAGAAATGTATACGCCCAGTTGAAGAATGCGCACGCTGGTAAGCGGCGTACACGGATAGCCGAACTGGGCGACTGGGCAATAAATCTCAGCTGTTGACAAGTCATCGACAAGTTAACAAATTGCCTAGCAGTGCAGTGCAGCAATGCGGAATTTGGTATGATAATTAATCTTATTAGGATTTCATCGGAAAGAACATAGAATACTAGTAAAACATTATTTTTACTATTTTGAATTGGAAACACCCGTACTATGTGACATCCATTTTTAAAATTGAAAACCTCAATCAAATATAAAATCATATACTGACATAACATTTCAGAGATACCTAATACAAGATTTGAACATTTATTTTATGTGGCTTTCTACCCCTAGAAAACCTTGAAAGCGGATTTTTTACTTTCATCATTCTTTTTCTGGTAGTTCTTGCTGTTACGCATGAATAAATGATACTTTTCAGCATGTAGCAACTCCAGCTTTATATCAATTTTGTATCAGATTTCAACGCCTTGGAAGCAGAGTAAATTGGCTCATGTATGTACATATAAAAATTTTACGCCCTCTGTATAGATAAATCTTCCTGACCCTTGTAATATCCTTTTTTGGCACCGTGGCGTTTTCAGGGGATAAAAAAAATAGTTACCTGCGTGTGTGTGGGTTGACCGCGGTCTCTGCTGGGAATGTCCCTCGCCTGCAGCACATGTACGGTCATCTTCCTCATGGGCGCGTCGTACAGAAGCGCGACCTCCAGGTGACCGCATTTGCTCACTATTTGGGTCTCGGGGTCCGAGCCCCCGCCGCACGACATCACCTCGCCGCGCTCCTCGTTTTCAGTATTCATCACTACGATGCACTGCCAACAAGAATTATCGTTATAGCAAATAAACATCATAAAAATATCATATTTAAGTATTTTTAAATTATATTTAATGAACGCATAAAGACTATGTAGATGTGGCAACAGTGCTAATAATTGACTAGCACTTGTACACACTGCGAACCTACAGACCTCGGACATCGGAGATATTGCGCGTCAAATTCGGGTAAAGATGCGTACGCGTTCAAAAATGTATTGTGTGTAAACTATGTACAATACAATTATTATTATGTACAGGGTGTCTCATAATTAGCTGCCAACCCTGAACAGGCCGATTGTATGATCAAGACTAAGTAAAAGAGTTCATATGAATATGGGTCCGGAAATGCTTCCTAAGGGCACAGGGACCCATTGAAGAGGGAGGAATGGAAATCATTTTTTTGCAATATCTCTCAATCGCGTTGTGATAAATGAATGAAATTTAGTATACACAGCTAAATTTTGATGAGCAATCTGATGGACTAATCCATTTATTTCCACAAGGTCCATTGGGGTGGGTACGGGGGGGCCCTTGGTACTTTGCGTGTGTAACTTTTTCATCTTTGACTTTTTAACAAATTGGACAGCAAATTCCGTTTTCCCGAACTGTTTTACGTTAAAAAGGTACTTTTGTTTCAAATCGTTGTCTTTAACGGTTTCTGAGAAAATCGCTCTTGAATTAATCCCACTTTGGTCAATTTCATAGTAATTTAAACAACTACTTATAACTATTTTTTTTAGATATAAAGTTTGCTGAGAAATATTTATGTTTTGTTATTCTGTACAAATGCTTTTATCTCAAGTATAACTAATTATATTAATCAAGTAGAGAAAACTTATGTAACCCTAAACTGTATTTTTTATTCCAATAAATATATCACAGCTTCCTAGCCTTTTTTAAATAATTTAGTTTTTTAAAAACATTACAAAAAATCATCTGTTGTGCATAAGTTATTGTTGATTTAGGAAAAATGTATATGTTTGAAATCAATTTCGTTTTTATCAAGTCTTTCAAATGTATTCCCTCCTTGTTGTCAGCTGATTGCGACGTTGCCACATTAATCCTCAAGTCAGACAGAAATGTAATTTTTGGTCTCTGTTTCTAATTAATACAGCTGTACTATGTTCAAAACGTACATTAGTTTTACATCTAAAATAAGATAATACTGTGTACTATCTATGAAAAAGTTTTGTTACACAATTTCTACATTTTTTCTTCAGTTATGGGCAAAAAAAGAGCCGCACCGTCCATCTTCTATGTTAAAATGAACAACTTTCAACAACAATATCTCAAAATCTAGATTCAAAAAATTATGACGCACAGAGGGAGCACTGGGTAATACGTTATATAAATTTCAAGTATATCTGTGCATTTGAGTAAACCCGATATATCTCCTTAAACAATCACGCACGAGATAAACTTTTTATATTATAGGCTGTAATGGGTACAGTCAATTCCGGTCAAATATTCAAGGACACACATAAAACGCAAATTGTAGTTGGCAATACTGTTATAATTAACTAATTTAAATGTAAAGCTAACATTTTCGCTTAAATAAGCTTATGTATAGGCTTCGCGTGCAAATTAAAATTTCAAATGATTTACGGATTTGACGGTGCCGCATATTTATTTTTGTTTGTCCGAGATTGCAAAGACCCGAAATCCCTCAATTGTACCAGTTCCTCTCAACAACAATCAAAACGAAGTTGCGCCGCCGAACCAGGGGACGTATGTCAATAAAGCCATTCTAAATTCCACCCGTGGAAATGGAAAACAAACAAAATTGATGTTTACTTACGTCTCTATTGCTGTTATTGTCGGTTTGCTCAATCTGCGCTGACGTGTCGACTTTTTGATAATCGATTCCCTGATTGTCTATTTTTGTTTCTCTCAGATCCGTAGGAGACCTGGAACAAGAGAGGATCGCATAACTTCGCATTTATTTTTTTAGCAACAAAATATAACTCCAGATTGCTCGGTAAATTATATTCAAAATCCCCAAAGCAATTAACTTTTAAAAATTACTGAAACATACGGGGCGTTCGGTTTAAAAAAGGAAATGTTTACCTTTGAACGTTTTCCACGATCTGTGCCGTCACTTTGGTGGCGGGCACGCCATGCTTCTCGCCCACGGAGCTGGTGGTGGAGCTGCAACACGAACTGTTGCTGCTCATTCCGACCCTGCCCTTCTCCACCAGCGAGATGAGATCGTGGACGGGTCGAGGGGGGTAGTAGGGGCCGGTGGTCCCCAGGGGCACGCCGGAGTTTTGACGGGGCCGCGACCCTCCCATCTCCGATTCGGAACTGGACTCTCCACCATCGAAAGAGTAGGCTTTCACTGCAAGAGATTTTTCAATCGATATAGGATGAAGTTCGTCTCATTTTTTGCTCGTTAATATAGAATATCGGGTGCGCCAAACTGACATAGATACGTTTTTAAACATACATTTACGAATGTACTTTTGTTTTGTATTGAAAAGTTAAAATAGAGCAAAAACATTAAGTATAGTGAACTTTTTAATATTACTCCACAGGATCAATCGAAATTTGAATATAATTTAAGATGCACCTTCATTTGCTATGCTGTCACATTTAGCCTAGATATGGTTGACGCAGTTTGTTAAAATCTTATCAGGTACTGCCACAACGGAGACTTGATGAAACGAGACAATGGACTGATGGGACTTTGCTGAAATCTGTGACAGTTTCTGTCTATGATGATGGAATAAACGACAAACTAGAAATATGCAACAATAGTATTTGTATTTCGCATTATCGTGCTCTATATTGGTGTGTTGTTACATTTTATGTTGCGGTTTCTACACTAGTGGAAAAAATTAAGGGATAAAAAAAATCTAAATTCTCGGCGATTTTTCAAATGGCTGTATCTTTGATAAAAATGGTCGTATTGGAGTAAAAAAAAAGCAATTTGAAGCTTGAAGTTTCTAATTTTTGGATCTTGAAAAAAAAATTTTTTCAAGTAACACGTATCGCGCAATCTTAATGAATATCATGAAAAAAACTTTTTCAAAAATATTTTTCAAAATTTTTTTTTTCATAATTTCAAACGCTTTCTGCAATAAGAATGTAAAAAAAATCAGGAAAAGAAAGTTTTTTTCATTTTTGTACAGATTATGAGAATTTAAAGGCAAAAAAACGTGATCCTTTATTTTTTTTTAAAATTCAATCGAATGAAACAAAAAAACGGCTTGATGGATCGAATTGAAACTCTGTAGGGCTTTTAGGGGTACAATGACCTATAAAAGGCACACTTAACATTAGTCATTTTCCCAATATTCTCAGTGTGGCACGTGATTTTCTAGAAGACCCCTAAAAGACATGTTAAGGAAAAAAAAATTTTTTTCTAAAAAACCGTGCCAGGACCTTGTAGAGAATTCATTCAAGTTTCTGAAACCCACCGTCGATTTTCTGTGGTTTGGTTTCTGAGATATCGATGAACAAAGAGAAAATGATCCATTTTCATTCAAAGTCCGATAGCTCTATTTTTTTTCATGATATTCATTAAGATTGCGCGATACGTGTTACTTGAAAAAATTTTTTTGCAAGATCCAAGAATTAGAAACTTCAAGCTTCAAATTGCTTTTTTTACTCCAATACGACCATTTTTATCAAAGATACAGCCATTTGAAAAATCGCCGAAAATCTAGATTTTTTTTTGATCCCTTAATTTTTTCCACTAGTTTATTATGAAAGACCATTTACTTTTCTTGGGCAAATAATATCTTGTTGGGTTAAAAAACAAAGGTGTACACATCGTTTACAAACTTTCCCGTTGCAATTCCCATAATATGAGGTGAAATTACTAAGAAAAACCTAGAAATCGCCACACTGTGTTTTTAAAGTTACAGTACAAAGCAGTATAGTTTCTTTTCTTGGAATATGTTAGAAATTTCTTGATATTACATTATTTGTTTATAGGTTAATTTTTAATTTGGTTTTCTTTAAGGGTCCTGGAAAAGTAAAGTGATAAATTTCTTTTGTGTATGTGATTCTATGACCTCAAAGCACGTGTAAAGGCATTCGACCACCCTGTATACAGAAGCTTGAAAGTATGATAAAGCATATGTAGTTTTGTGAAAGGGTATGATGCGAGATAATGATACAAGACCATACCTTCGTATATTTATTATTAAACTACCAACTCGGAACTGACTTGGTTGTATTAAACCAAACTTTCGTCATAATTGTTTGCTCGTGAAAATTGGCTTAACCGTTCTTATTACATACGGAAGTGATGAACAAAACATGAACGAAGCCTTTGAGTATATTTGTTAGAAGACGACAAAGTAAAAATTAATTTAGAGAAATTCTGTAAAAAAATTTTTCAATGATTAATTATTTATTAATCAAATATTTAGTTACTTCATCTTATTTTTGATTCGTTACTTTTTGTCCTTGCCCAACGCTATACAAATTCATCTAATTTTTTGCCATTGGTTTTAAAAAGATACGAGTATTGGAATAAAACTGGTATATTTTCAACATTTTATAAAGTGAAATATAGGCAACCCCATTATTTGATTTCTAGTCATTTTAGCCGGTTTACGAACTGTTAATTGGATCATAATCAAGTGGATCAAGTCGGCTTAGCACGAATGCTACGATTTAGCAGACGATATGTGGATTTTATGACAAAATAAAGATTGTAAAATGTAAACACCAATGCACTAGATTTTTATCTAATGTTTATTAATTTTATGATTAACAAATTTATTCCTTACATACAGGCTGTTCCACATAAAAGGGATTCTTCTGTAACTCTGTAACTGTAAAATTTCCATGTAAAGAAAATATTTTTAGCTTTACAAAATGTTCCATTTCGCATGGGCACTACATAACTTTGTTATTTTAAATTGGAACATCCTGTATATTATTGCATTTTTGAATTCCTTGGTTGATATTAGGTAGAGTTTATTAAATGTACATTGCGTTTAAAACTTACCGTCTTCGAGATAATCAGTTGTTTTTTGAAAAAAATCACGATTTCAGCTCTCTAAATGAGGCTAGATAGCGTCTAAACTGTAAGAGTTAGAAACCTGCAGTTTTCACAGTGCGTTTTGGTATATATTACTCTATCTTGTCATCTGCGTGTACGTTATTCAGACTCGGAAATACTGAGACCTACATTTAATAAGCTTACGAGTTGAAATACTTTTTTTTTTCAAATGGAATGACCCATATTAAGTATCATGGGTGAATGCAAAATTGAATGCTCTTTCGAGAGTTTTCCAGAAAAATCAGGTTCTTATTTTCTAAAGTCCGAAAAAGTAGCTATGTAACAGCTCTGGGACTGACAGAGTCAATATTTACTGGCATGTTTAAAAAGTGGTTTGACAAACAAAAGTAAACCACTAATAATAACTAAAACAAAACTCAAAACGAAACAAGCTGAAACTCGGAACACAACAAGGAGAATAATACTGATTTACATCAATTGCTGGAAGTGTCCTCTATTTTGATTAATACACAAACGAATTCGGTTTTTAAAAGACTGTTCAACATTGGTCAGCATGTCTGGCGTAATTTCTTGAAATGCTACTGTAATGCGCTGCCACATATCTTTCGCGGTAGTTGGGGTGTAACGTAAACTTTGTTTTTTTATAAATCCCCATAAAAAGAAGTCGCAATTTTCATATCTGGACACTTTGAAGGCCAACTCACTGGTCCCCCGCGCCCAATCCATCTGTTGGGAAAAGTTTCTTCGAAGTGTAGCTAAAGGAATGTTGCCTAACAATTTTCTACAGTGTTTATTAAAAAATTTAAATAAACTGCTCCAGTTAGATGTTGGTCAAAAAAGAATGTTGCAATGACATGGGTTCCCAAAATTGCTCCCCACGCGTTCAAAGACCATTGTTGGCTATGAGTTGTCCGGAATTGGTGAGGATTTACTGTGTCATAATAATGGCAATTATGACTATTAACGAAACCATTTTTATGAAAAGTAGCCTTATCGGTGAACATGACCCGATTAAAAAAAAATCATCATCTGTAAAGCTAAAAATATTTCATTTACATGATTTCAGACAACTTTTATTAAAACCATTTTTTATAAATTTTACAGTTACAAAGTTTCAAAAGAATCCCTCTTAGGTGGAACCCCTGTATAAACACGAACACCATATTTAGAACTATTTCAAGAAATGTTTTGTTCATAAATTAACAAAACTATGTATAAGCTGTGCGTATAATTGATTTTGTACCATCAAGAAGATTTACTCTCCCTCTTTTTTAAAACAAGCGACGATATTGCCTTGCCGAAAGAAACAAAGCGAAACGCTGCTAATAAAATCCCCTTTGGAATTTATCGACCGTGGGCAAGACAAAATTTTCCTCGAAATTAAGTGATGACATGGAAAGAATGCCAAGAGAGTTATCGAGGAATTCCCACAATGCCCTTACCAAGATATTTACTTTAACCGTTTACAAATTGAACATTAAATTCCACGAAAAAGTCCGCTTTGGTGCTTTCTCTTTTGCTTTCGAGGCATGGTGGATTTTCTAATAAACGTTTCTTGCTGGTTCATAAATGAAAATATTACAGAGAAGTTCGGATATTAAGAACTATGTGCATAAAATCCGCAAAATATCTCCGCAGACTTTTAACGAATCCTTTTTAGTATCAGTATTTAGCATGACCTTGTACTTTTGAGTGAAAAAGAAAACACTTTTTCAAAGTATTTTTCGCGAATAACTCAAAAACTACGCATTTTATTAAAAAAAGTGTATTGAACAAAAATGTAGCTTATAAATAAACAAAGAAAATTGTTTTTTAAAAAGTGTTGTACGTCCTATACAAAGCGAAATATGGTTAGTGGAAGGGGACTTGTTTTGGAGGGAATACTCGAATCGATGTATTCAACGTCAAATGACGGAAAAAGGATTGATTTTACGTGTATAACGCTCCTGGAGTTTTTTGTAGTACTCAAAAAGACCTTCAAAATGAGTACTTATAAAAGATAATTAGAGCAACATTGAAGGAGTTATCGTCAAAAACAGATGGGTTGCTCATATTTTTTAAGGAAAAATGAGCAGTAAACGCTGTACCAATTCAATCAGAATTAAAACTAAACGTAGCCCCTTTACAATTAGTTTTATTTTAGTGTTTTTTATACGATCCTGAAGTTAGACCGGTTTAGAATTCGTATTTTTTTTCTTATTTATATAATAACTGAAACTATGAAAGATACGTAAAAAATGATATACAACAAAATTGTAGCTTGAAGTATTCATTTCAGTGAAAAAACGACCTGTCTCGAGCCCTTTGATCCTTTCACTTTAAAAAACGAAGGACTTAAAAGGTTTTATATGTAAACGATC